CGCTTGTTACAACTTTTAATAAAGTTGTTACATCTTGGCTTAACGTGTTTATGACGTATTAGAACGTTGTTACAACTTGCTATATTGGTTGTTATAACTGGTTAGGAGGTGTTAAAACTTGTTCGAACGTTGTACTAACGTCGTAGTTTCGGTGTGTGTTTGGCGGGAAGGAATGGTGCCCAACCACTTGGACGGTCGGGGATTGAACGCCGACCTGCATGAGGCGAGACCGTCGCTCTACCGTCCTGTTCAAGTGGTTGAAGCCATGCAGGTTCATCCTATCCTGTCCAGCCAGCGAACTAACTGATTATTAAACAGGACTCTAACCACGACAATCTGGTACCTATTTACTGCTAGGTGAACAGAGGTATTAGGATTGGTTTTGGTCTATCAACCTCGAGAGGGTTATTAAAGCCACACAATAACTTACTGACCAACCAATAATACTCTTTAGTACTTGCAGTACTTCAGGGTAGTGTAGCACAGTGGTCTACGTTCTCGGTCCTCAATCGAGGGATCCGGGTTCTATCCCCCGGGCAGGACAGAAACAGTTGAGCATATTTCCTTTCACCTGTTGCCTCTATTCACCTAGCAGTTAAATAGATACTCGAGAGTTAAGCAATTGGTGTGAATTGCATCCTTGGTAAGGTCAACTGACTTGAGGGGGGAAGGGTGGATCTTGATAAGCTTAAGTTCAAGTTTTCTGTCAATGATAAAGGGAATTATATACCACAATAAGCGCGATATATCTCTCTGATGTCGTAGCTCAGTCGATTAAGGCGCATCTGAGAACCTCTCGGACGTAGATTCGAACCCTCGTCACGGCCCTTGTGGATTTGTTCATCTTTCTGGTGTTAAGAAACATGCCCAAGCGTCTCGCTCTGCCCAGAAATCCAACCTGGGCCCAGACGGTTGTGAGATGGGTTAAAGCCAGGCTTTAAGGTACTGGGCGTTTTATGTGTGTTTATGTTGGGGGAATATGATCCATAAGTCGGATGACGGCGGTGGGAAGGTGGTGGGTGGGCTGGCGCGTGTCACACCCCTGATCAACGGTTAGCCGCGGCCTCACCCTTCCTCACCCTCCCCCCAACACCCCCCCTAACATACCCCCTATCACACACACTTCCCCCAACACCCCCAACACTCCCATAACCCCGTAACACATACCCTCCCCCAAACACACACTCACGAGGCTGGCAAACATTAGAATGTCATTTAAAAACTTAAATCCAGGACTCTTTCAAGGCAATCTACAATATCACTGTTAGACCTATCCTGGAATATGTATAACATGCGGGAGGGACGCGCCACTCATGTGGTGGTAGTGAGGACAGGCTAGTGATGAAATTGTGAATTTATCTGAGGAGCACCATCTCTAGTGGCCTTATGAGGGGAAATGCATGTCCCGTTTTGCGCTTACGTTGCGATTAAGGAGATCCGAGTTCAAATGTTGTGTATTACCACTCACATTGTGCATTGCAAGAACGTGATCAAGTTGACGCCCTCGCTAAGATTGCAAGAAATGAAGACACTGTTAATAGTAATCTTGAACTACCAAATAGCTTACTTAAAAGTGTCATTAGACGAGAACTCTTAGATGATGTTGAAGAAAGTAGAATAGTGCAAATAGGAACTAGGAAATTCATTGTTTATCAAAGAAGTGTGTAGAGTGAGTGTGTAGGGAACTTGACCTACTGAAGAGGCAGTGGGAGGAGTGAGAATGGGACTTTAAACAAGAGCTGTCCTCATCCGCGACCTCACTCACATCTGGCGAACTGTCCCTTTCCTCTCTAACCTCATTATGGAGGTTGGTATATGTGTACATAGCTAGATGTGTGGGCAGGGACGAGCTTCAGCCCTTGGATTCACATTTCTAGTTGTCGATCAACAGATGCAATGACCCTTGATCCACTCACTTATGTTGCTTAAACTGTGGAGATCGATCAACTTCCTCCTCCAATGAATTAAATATAAAACCTTTAACACTCTTCCTGAGATTAATGAAAGTTAAAGTGTGTGTCACTGGAGGTGAAGAACTAAAATGGACTAGCATACGTGAAGGGGTCTTCACGTATGAAAATGTCTTGACTAAAATGAGTCAAGGAGTGAAATTGTCACTCCTGGAAGGCTCCAGAGCTCGGTCTTGGGAGCGTTATTCCTCGTGTTTAATACCAGTACCAAGATGGTTATATAAACAGCAATATATGCACCTTCGTACACCATGCAATAATGGTACGATATATGGAATTAAATCGGCAGTTGTAGAATTAAAATGTAGTGGTAACACCTAGAAGTCTGCTAATCTTATTGGATGATCCTTAGATATGCGGCTCTTCCAGCATGATATGATAATGATAGATGGAGCAACTGGTGTGAATTTTACTTTGCCGCAAGTTTACTGGAATTTGTTACTGTTCCCTTTAGGCTATTCATAGGCAATCCAAGATGGTAACCAATTCCCTCTTAATGAGAGGTGACCCTGGGGTTATGTGGCTACAACACCAGTAGGCGAGTGCTGGGGACATAATAGGGGGTGACCCTGGGGGTTATGTAGCTACAACACCAGTAGGCGAGGACAAATGTTATGTCAGTGGATTGTAGACGAGAGGAGTGGGTGAGTCGACGTGCCTTTGTAAACTAATACTAAGTGATTTTCCTGAAGGCTGTGGGATTAGATCTCCTTACACAGAGAGCAACACAAGTCTTTCTTTACTTATCTGATCCTCTTTACGTCTTATTAGTGTATAAACGCCTCGGGTTCTTTATTTTATTGTTAATACGTTGATCGTATGAATGAATCAGTCTGTGACAGCGTGTGACACTGTGGCATAGTACGTGACACTGTGACATAGTGCGTGACACTGTGGCATAGTGCGTGACACTGTGGCATAGTGCGTGACACTGTGACATAGTGCGTGACACTGTGGCATAGTGCGTGACACTGTGGCATAGTGCGTGACACTGTGACATAGTGCGTGACACTGTAGGTCCAGTCTGTGACCAGGTCTCCTGGTTGATGATCTGATTAACCAGGCTATTAGACGACGGCGATTGCATTCTGAAATATGAATCACAGCCCAGTTGGACAGGTACCAACGAACCCGTCCTGAGACCAAGTCCATTCCATCCAGCGGTCGACCCTAAAGACGCATTCATCAATTGTAATATGCTATTCATTCAAAATAGGAATTTTCTCAAATATAAATTAATATTGTTATATTAGCATATTGTGCATATTTATGAATTGGTTAGGTTAGGCGTTTAGGTTCTGTTGGCAACTATTGTATTTGTATTATTTGTATTATTGTATTCACGTGGGTGAAGCATTTACAGCGTTGTGGTTCGAATAAAAGTCGTCAGTGAAGCACTTGTTCGAGAAGTTATTTTATATTTTATTTTTATATATACAAAAGTTCTTACATTCTTGTACAGCCACTAGGATGCATAGTGTTTCGGACAGGTCCTTAATCCTAATTTTACCCTGGAATACGACTCGCCAAATCGTTTAACAATCAGGTACCCATTCACAGCTAGGTGAACAGAGGCTACAGTTAAGGATTTACAGTCAGTCAATCCTCCCTGGCCAGGATACGAACCCAGGCCAAAGCAAAGCGAAGCTCGCTCGAAGCAATGCTCGCGAAGCGCTGGGCGAGTGTTTTACCACTGCGCCACAGGGACCACAGGGAGAAGTGTTCGAACGTCATCAGTTGTGAGTCGTGTGTAAGCCGTTTTTCATTCATAAACAGTGTGGTTAGCAGGTTAATGGAATGGACTTTAGACCTTTATCTATGGTGACGGGCTGTACTTACTAGACCATTGAGGGGTTGATAGAACCTCGACCACCAGTACTACCAGACCTGCATGAAATTTGGCGGGAACCATCCAGTACCACACTCCAAGCTGTTGTTATGTAAATTACAGATCAGAGTACAAAGGTTACTTAATGGGTACAGTTGTTTCTATTTTATCGTCATTATTTATACGCACCGTTTCTGGCATCACACCAAGAAATAATATGGCATGAAAGAGGTGAATATACACTTGAGAGGTATATATGCTGTGTGTCACTAATTATTCTGAGGCGAATTAACGAGTTTGCGAATCACCTCTTATGCAATTCTTAAGTGCATCAATTTGAATAAGGGAAGGCCTATGTCTGATTTTAGAATTAGGGTAGCAGAGGCTGCCATTTTTGTAAACCTTCCGTAAAACATGATAAGAAAATGAGAATAAATTGCAGAAGGCCTATTGACCCCTACCTTGAGGGGGGGGGGGGGGGGGGTTCGGAGCTTAGCTTCCCCGCGGCCCGGTCGTCGACCAGGCCTCATGGTCGACGCCTCCCTACGAGGCAGTTCCTGCGTATATCCACCCAAACTCATGCGTATGTTCAACCTTTACTTGAAACAAGTTCTGGTAAATTGCGTTTTGTTTACTCTGTAAGCAAATTAGTTGAACAAATTGATGTATGGATTAACGGTGTTTGCAGGGGGCGTGGGGTCACGGGGGGCGGCGGGGGATCACGGGGGGCGGCGGGGGGCGTCAGGGGTCATGAGGGAAGGAAGGTGATGGGCGTCAGAGATCATGAAGCAGTGGATGAGGGGGCGTCAGGGGGGTCACGAGGGGCGGGGTGAGGGACGTCGAGGATCACGTCCGAGGGGGTGCTGTGAGGGGCCGCGGGGATGTGTGGGGCGTCATGGGTCATGGCGAGAGGGGTGAAGATTGACGGAGATCACAAAGGCGAAGGCCAGCATATGGGGACGTCTGGGCCGGTAGGGGGGAGGCGGTCACCGGGAGGGGTAAGAGAGGGGGGAATCGGCGGTAAACACACACACACACACACACACACACACACACACACACACACACACACACACACACACACACACACACACACACACACACACACACACACTCCACAGGCTCTATAATATACGCCCCCACCCACGCTCCCGGAACTGCGCCCGCTACTCCGTCAGACGCGGGCACCGCGCTCACTACACCATCTGCTTCCACGGAAACCACCGCGCCTCTTGGCACGCTGGTGGCGGCTCATCTGTCACCCCATCAGTGGACGGTGCCCCCCCCCCAGAACCCAATAACTCACCTGTGTCCTAAAAAAATTCGTCAAAACGGAACTAACGTAACGCGTGACATCTCGTCTCTGTTGCCCACCGAATCATAATTATGTTCAACAGATTTATGTTCTGTAAACAGAACAGTCTATTAAGACCATAAATTAGTGCACTGGTAAATTAATGTTTGAAGCACTGTTCACCCGTGATCACACCCACGACTGGTCTAGCTTGCTTGACATTTCCGGGAAAATGAAAATAATAGGTTGTAGCTGACGGTGAAGCGACAGTGAAGGTGACAACGACGCCGTCACCTTCCTACCGGAGACAACATTATTTTCGTCTCGTTTGGCAACTACAGATAAAGGTGAGTTGCTATTGGTGCATTAAAACTTGTGAGAGAGGCAGTATGTTTGGTCAGACTTGTGAGATAGGCAGTATGTTGGGTCGGACTGGCGTGAGGCAGTATGCTGAGCTAGACTGGTAAGAGAGAGGCAGTATGCTGGGCCGGACTGATGTGAGGCAGTATGCTGAGCTAGACTGGTAAGAGAGGCAGTATGTTGGGCCGGACTGGCGTGAGGCAGTATGCTGAGCTAGACTGGTAAGAGAGGCAGTATGTTGGGCCGGACTGGTGTGAGGCAGTATGCTGAGCTAGACTGGTAAGAGAGGCAGTATGTTGGGCCGGACTGGCGTGAGGCAGTATGCTGAGCTAGACTGGTAAGAGAGACAGTATGTTGGGCCGGACTGGTGTGAGGCAGTATGTTGAGCTAGACTGGTAAGAGAGACAGTATGTTGGGCCGGACTGGTGTGAGGCAGTATGCTGAGCTAGACTGGTAAGAGAGACAGTATGTTGGGCCGGACTGGCGTTAGGCAGTATGCTGAGCTAGACTGGTAAGAGAGGCAGTATGTTGGGCCGGACTGGCGTTAGGCAGTATGCTGAGCTAGACTGGTAAGAGAGACAGTATGTTGGGCCGGACTGGTGTGAGGCAGTATGCTGAGCTAGACTGGTAAGAGAGACAGTATGTTGGGCCGGACTGGTGTGAGGCAGTATGCTGAGCTAGACTGGTAAGAGAGGCAGTATGTTGGGCCGGACTGGTGTGAGGCAGTATGCTGAGCTAGACTGGTAAGAGAGGCAGTATGTTGGGCCGGACTGGCGTTAGGCAGTATGCTGAGCTAGACTGGTAAGAGAGGCAGTATGTTGGGCCGGACTGGCGTTAGGCAGTATGCTGAGCTAGACTGGTAAGAGAGACAGTATGTTGGGCCGGACTGGCGTGAGGCAGTATGCTGAGCTAGACTGGTAAGAGAGACAGTATGTTGGGCCGGACTGGCGTGAGGCAGTATGCTGAGCTAGACTGGTAAGAGAGACAGTATGTTGGGCCGGACTGGTGTGAGGCAGTATGCTGAGCTAGACTGGTAAGAGAGAGAGGTAGTATGTTGGGCCGGACTGGCGTTAGGCAGTATGCTGAGCTAGACTGGTAAGAGAGAGGTAGTATGCTGGGCCGGACTGGTGTCAGGCAGTATGCTGGGCCGGACTGGTGTGAGAGTCAGTATGTTAGGCCGGACTGGTTCAGGGATTGTGCCAAGGGTTCCTCTCTTATGGCCATATTGGCCCTCCAGAGGTTGATAGACCTTGACCTACACCAAACCAGGTTCCTCCCTCCCTTGTACCGTGATGGCGTCTCAGTACACCATAAACAGATCGATCAATATTTTAAAATAATTTTCATTGACTAAAAATCAATGCAAGAATAAAAATACTTTCAAATATAACATTTAAAATTATTAGTAATTGAAATTGGTCCGTGTTAAAATCAGGATTTTTATCCGTATTAAATTTATTAAAAACATGGTCGCATAAAATGATGGCGAGTATGGGAGTCCGGGTTGGTTGACCCTGAGTGGCACTGGTGGCACTCTGGCGGCACTTGTTAAAGGAATCACAGTACCCAGCTGCATGAAGAGTGCCTCGACTGATTACTAAGATAACAACTGATTACCCACTTAGAGCTATCATGATCTGCAACAGCTGATAGGTCGGTTAAATCCGACCGATCACTGGCCACCTTGAGACGACGACTTGACAGGTTTCTTGGTTATAATTCATTATAATTAACGTCGTTGAACAAATCCACAAGGGCCGTGAAGAGGGTTCGAACCTACGTCCGACGTCATCACGGCCCTTGTGGATTTGTTCATTTGATGCATCACGTTATTGTGGTTTCTGTGTGTAATTATCGTCAATATTAGAGCGCGGCAATACTGACGTTTTATATACATCAAACTTGGTGGATTGTTTGGATTTGTACATTTCTTAGTTGGGCAAACCAATTTAATGAACCACAGAGACGTAAGAAAAAAGTTTTCAGTGTCAGAATAATTAACAAATAGAATGCACTAAGAAGCGAGATGGTGGAAGCAGATTCCATAATTTCAAATGTAGATTCAAAAGAGCCTAATAAACTCAGGAACCTGTACACCAGTTGATTGATGGTTGACAGACGGGACCAGAGAGCCGAGGCTCAACCCGTGCAAGCACAAGTAGGTGAGTACATACTGAGAATAAGTCTGACTTATCCATCTGGAGCTATCAACACCGTGAGGACACCGGGGCCACCACAACGGCCGCGTGGCTCTCTTTGTTTACACTGTTATGTAGTCATGGAGAGACTGCCTCCGCTCCTCCCACGACTCACTCTAACTCTAACACACTCTTGTTAACACTCGTACTCCTACTAGCACATTAGATGCTGTAGTAGTGAATAAGATGGATCTATAAATCCATCAATGTTTGTATCACACCTTGTATGTATGTACTTTACCTGAATAAACATTTGAATTTGAATTTTGAATTTGAATTTTGAATTTGAATTTTGAATTTGAATTTTGAATTTGAATTTTGAATTTGAATTTTGAATTTGAATTTTGAATTTGAATTTTGAATTTGAATTTTGAATTTGAATTTTGAATTTGAATTTTGAATTTGAATTTTGAATTTGAATTTTGAATTTGAATTTTGAATTTTGAATTTGAATTTGAAGCAAAACAACACCTGGCGGAAATAGGCACAATACGAGCAGTAGGGCCAGACGTCATACCGCCAAGCTGTCGAAGGAGTCCGCACGGGGAAAAAAATGGCAAATGTATTCTCAGTATTAAAATGAGGGAATAGGATGAGAATAAACTTTGTACTGGAAGGGCAACGTGGATTTAGAAAGGAAAGTCTTGCGTGATATAGAGTTCTATGACATGGTCATCAGAAACGGCAGGAAGAGGAAATCTGGGTAGACTGCATCTTCCTAGATTTCTCAAAGCATACGATCCTGTACCTCATGAAAGACTGTTGTTCACAATAGAGACACGTTGGTATAACTGGAAAAACTTTGAAAATTTTAAGCAAGTGGCAGATGGACAGAAAACAAAGGAACACATTCAGAGTGGAAATGGTAATCTGGAAGAATGTGACAAGTGTGCTCCTCAAGGATCAGTCTTGGGACCATTACTGCTCTTAATCTGTGAATGACCTGCCAGAGAAAGTTGAGCTCATATAGGTCAATGATTGCAGATGATGAGCAACTAATAAAGTAAAAATTGAGAAGGATTGCAGGAAATTGAAAGAAGTCCTTGACAAATTCCAGGAATGGGCAGACAAATGGCTTTTAGAATTTAATCCCTTACAAGTGTAAGGTAAAAAAGATTAGAAAGAGAGATAGAAGGTAACTACAGGAATAAAAAAAGATAACACATATTTATTTGATTTAATTCCATTTATAACACCAGTGTTAGTGTGTTACCAGTGTTACGAGAGTGTTACCAGAATTTACCTGAGGGCCACCGTCACTCTCTACTGGCAAACAATAGCACGGCACTTAATAACTTAAATATCTACTCTTTTAAGACAATCTATACAGCATATTTGAAGCCAGTACTAGAGTACACAGCACCGGCATGGAATCACCTCCTCTTCAAACACAAATCTAAACTTGAAAAACTACAGAAGTTACAAGAAGACTAGTGCCTGAACTGAAAAGGCTAAATTTCCAGGAGAGGTTAAGGGACCTCATACTTACAGCTCTAGAGGAGAGAATGGAGGGGATATGACCACTACATGCAAGACATTGAGGATCTAGCCAAGTTGGACAGGGACAGCCTCTTTAAAGTAAAATAACATGGGAGGGACAAGATAAAAGGTGTAAGCTGGAAGTACAAATGAGTCTAAAATGAAAGTAAGGAAGTACTCGTACCCTGTATGAGTGGTCTACAAGTACAATGCCCTGAAAAAAGAAGTTGTGGAAACCATCTCCTTCCTCAATTTTAAGGGAAGATATGAGAGAGAAAGGAAAGTCAGGAAATTTCAAATAAAATGCAACAGGTACAACATGACTAATATAGGCGAGGTTTAAAGAGCTAGACTTTACTTCCTTTTAGTCAGTGTTAGGTAAGCTCGGTACTCCGGCACTCTCCCCTCCGTCTGGGCCATGAGGTCTTTACAGGGCCATGAGTGCGAGCCAGGCGAGCTACAGCTGTGTGTGTTGTGGCGGGCCTTGAGTGCCCGGGGGCTGGAGGACATTATCTGATGCCATAAAGCTGGGAGGAAATATTACAGGAAATGTAGTCACCGAGAGCCTAGGGTGATGAGGCCAGCAGCGTTGCTAATGGCCACTCGTGTTCGGTGTTGGCGTGTAGGCTGGGAGGGGAAGGATGGCAGGCAGGCAGGCAGGCAGGCGGACGGGCGGGTGAGCAAGCGGATTGGGCAGGCAGGCAGGCAGGCAGGCAGACGAGCAGTCATTCAGTCTGGCGGACAAGGAGGGAGGGCGTTAAGAAGGGTGACACTGATACACCATGTAACAATTTATTTTTTGTTCTTGGGTAGCAAGTGTTATTTTCTGATTGTCTATGCCTCCAAAGCATGGAAAAGTATTCCCCTTAAACTTTACTTTGACCTCTGCCTAAGACGGCTTAGGGAAGACGTCTTAAATGCACCGAAAGGCTAAGATGTGAGAGAGAAGGATGAGATAAAGAGAGGGGGGATTAAAGAATGACAGAGCGAGTGAGGGAGAGATGAGGGATAAGGGGTTGGAAAAAGGATGTATGAGTTGCAGTGCGATAGTGTTTACTAATGAGATTGATAATCTTGAACATGCAGACGAGGAGTGTCAGAGGGTTGTAAACATGTGTCTGAATGAATATACTCATGTTCATGTTTGAGGGAGCGCTGACTGAATGACCATGTCTAGAGTTGCTATACTAACTTGAAAATACAACAATGTAATACTTGTAAACTTGCATACGTAATAAAATAGGATGCTGTATATGTTGTATCTCATTCATAAACCAAAGCTAAAAACTAATTCCCCTCCTCTACAAAGGGGTGTAAAAGTGCGCTGTGCCAGATGCTCCGTCCTTGTCTGCTAACTCTGACGAAATTGATGAGCTTTCAGTACGGACTCTGCCGTAAACTCTGGCATCCTCTCTGGTACTTTCCCCGCCACCTTACTTGTATCTGCTTGTGGCTGAAGACTTATTCCCACCACCATTTTGTCCCGTATATCCTTCTATTTTAGATATGCATTTACCTCAATATTGAAATAATACTGATTCTATGCACATTTACCAGGCACAAAGTTAGCTAAAATATATAAATAAAAGTTAAGAGATCATCATTTAAAAAGATAAAGACAACTTTATCAAGGTGTATTATTAGACGGAACAACGTACTTGCAGAAGACGAAATAATGCAACCCGCCATAAGTCTGTGTTCATTCCATGAGCGGCCAACCCCAAAGACGCAGTCATCAATTTTAATATGCTGTTCAATAAAAATACATATTTAGTCAAATATAAATTAATATTATATACTCGCATATTGTGCATATTTGACTGTAGATTAGGTTAAGTTGTGTGTTTGGGTTCTGTTGGAAATTATCTGTATTTGTAGGACTTGAGTGAACCATTTGCAGAGATGCGACTCGAACAGAGGTGGTCATCGAAGCACTTGTTCTAGAATAGTTCGAACGTCATCAGTTGTGAGTCGTGTATCAGCTCGTCCTCTAAACAAAGCAGCCTGCCCTTCAAACAAAGACCGAAAGTTCATTCCATGCACTCGCCAAACACCCTGTTTGTGAATGAAAAACTGTTTACACACGACTCACAACTGATGACGTCCGAACACTTCCGGAACAAGTGCTTCGCTGACGACATTGTTTGAAATACAACGCTGTAAAAGCTTCACCCACGTACTACAAATACAAATAATCGGCAACAGAACCTAAACACCTAACCTAACCTAACTATTATTATATATACATATAATAATAATGATGATGTTTTCTTATACGAAAACGTATAGGTTATACTACTTTTTTACATATTGATTTTTGTCGAGGCTGCTAATTAATTAACGACAGCATTTCGGGCAAATATAACGATGCATATTTAAGTACCTCTTTCAATAGTAACTCGGGGAAATTGCTCTTCTTCCTTTGAAGTCAAGCCATAACTTCAAAAATGAAGTTTCTCTTACAATATATACTTCCTTTGACAACGGCTCCCGCAAAGACGTATATGGCTCCGCCTCTCACAACTTAACCAGCGTTAACAATGTATTAATTTAGGATATTGTAAACAACATGAGATTAGATAAACACGTGAAGATAGATCAGAACTTCGTCCATATCACTTGTCCCTCAGTTTTGAACGAAGTGGGGTCTAAAAACCTTAGAAAAGTGTAAGTACGTCCTTAGCTACGCTATGCTTGTCTAAGCTTGATCAACCCTCAAGGTGCATTGATAAATTTTAACGTAGTGGAAAAACTATATTTTGCTTAAATATAAATCAATACTTATCGGCTGATTATTTATAACGACAACGGTTAGTTAGCTGCTAGTCCATCAGACGTTTTATTTCGATGCTTCAAATCCATAGAAGAAAATGAATGCATATGAATGGGAGGAACTAAAGTAGAGTGAGAGGCGGGCAACGCTGGTCTCTGGAGAAGTGTTAGCGGAGGAGAGTGAGGCGGCCATGACCCTCTCCAAGAGAAAATAAACATGAACTTTTATTGTATAGGTTTAGATAAGCGTAATGTGTTATCTGTGAGTTTGTGATAAGGAAGGTGGAGGTCGTCAGCTGGAACACCTCTGAAACACACGATCACTGCAACAAACCCGTGATTCACGACCCCTGAAACACGTTGCCTACAACACTTAATATGTGACATCTCTACAACTTATAATTTACAGCATGACCTGTGCAATGCGTTCTTTGCAACACAACGTGTGGAAACACAGCCAATACATTACATTATATGGTGAAAGGGCTGCTAAACTTACTTGAAGTATTAGTATCGAAAACGGGTTTAGTGTTTGGATACCATATCATATAGAGCAGACAGAACATATAGATATTTGTATTTACTGATTTTGTTAATTTAACTATATGTTTATATATGGGTACCATCTCTGGTGCAATTGTAGTGACCCATAGCTTCACAGAAGGGAATAAAGAGCAGTCATAAGACTATGTTTTATGTGGATTATGCACATTAGCACATGAATTTGAATATAAATGGCTCTGTGATAGGAAAACTTAATGACGCGTTGTATATGTCCCCAGATTACGGCATGGTAGAGCCTGCTGGAGCAATGGCGATGTTTGTCCTACGGCTGGCGGGGCTCCTGTCGCTCGAGAATGCCCTCAAAGAACAGGAAGCCAACCTCACCCACGCACACCTCAACCTCACCGGTATGGGCTTCACTCCTGATACCTCCAACTTCACCTGGTCCTCCACCCAGTACCTGTCCCATGTCAGCCCTCTCACTACCTCGAACCCTCGGACGGGCCAGGTAGCAGCTCCCACCACTTTGAACCCTTGGGCGGGCGAGGTAGCATCTCCCACCACCGCGAACCCTCGGGCGGGCGCGGTAGCGTCTCCCACCACCTCGAACCCTTGGACGGGCGAGGTAGCATCTCCCACCACCGCGAACCCTCGGGCGGGCGAGGTAGCATCTCCCACTACCGCGAACCCTCGGACGGGCGAGGTAGCAGCTCCCACCACTTTGAACCCTTGGGCGGGCGAGGTAGCATCTCCCACCACCGCGAACCCTCGGGCGGGCGCGGTAGCGTCTCCCACCACCTCGAACCCTTGGACGGGCGAGGTAGCATCTCCCACCACCGCGAACCCTCGGGCGGGCGAGGTAGCATCTCCCACTACCGCGAACCCTCGGGCGGGCGAGGTAGCGTCTCCCACCACCTCGAACCCTCGGGCGGGCGAGGTAGCATCTCCCACCACCGCGAACCCTCGGGCGGGCGAGGTAGCGTCTCCCACCACCTCGAACCCTTGGACGGGCGATGTAGCGTCTCCCACCACCGCGAACCCTCGGGCAGGCGAGGTATCATCTCCCACCACCTCGAACCCTCGGACGGGCGAGGCAACAGCTCCTGTAACACCATCATACCCTGCCACCACATCATCTACTTCAGTAGGTAATTTACCACGGTCCGCACCAACTCTGACTTCACACTCCACTATCGATAGTTTTATATTGCCTAGAATAAATGAACTTCCAGTTAACCATTCCCAAGTGTTAGCCAGCGTTACCAGCTATATTGGAAATGCGCATTCAAGTACTGACAAAAATTCGTTGCCAGATCAAAGTGACAACACAAATTTTAAAATGGCAAACGATTCGATAGAAATGTTACCTAGAGCTAGTCCTCTGTCTGATGTTCGAGATAACGTTAATGGCAACGATGATCATGGTCCTCACTCTCTACACAATGCTGCTTCACAAATTCAACAAGGAAAAGAAGAACCGGAAAGACTAGATCATCGTGAACTTATTGTACAAAAGGTACACGGTGGAGTTACAGGCGATGGTGACGAAGGATCTGGTGAGGATCACGAAGAAAGACTGACACCAGGGCGAGGCTTGGAGCCACAAGGGAGAGGCACGGAGGCACAAGGGAGAGACACGGAGCCACAAGAGAAAGGCACGGAACCACAAGAAAAAGTCGCGGAACCACAAGAAAAAGGCGCGGAGCCACAAGAAAAAGGCGCGGAGTCACAAGGGCGAGGCACGGAGTCACAAGGGAGAGGCACGGAGTCACAAGGGCGAGGCACGGAGTCTCAAGGGCGAGGCACGGAGTCACAAGGGCGAGGCACGGAGTCACAAGGGCGAGGCACGGAGTCACAAAGGAGAGGCACGGAGTCACGAGGGCGAAGCACGGAGTCACAAAAACGAGGCACGGAGTCACAAAGAAGAGGCACGGAGTCACAAGGGCGAGGCACGGAGTCACAAAGGAGAGGCACGAAGGTCCCAGCTGTCGTAAGAACACGCATAAGAAAAGGAAAAGGAAAAACCCGAAACAAGACTGTATCTTCCAATCCGGGACGAGGTGAATCCCTTCCTGTGGACGTGGGGACAGGAAGTCATATCGACCCCTCTACAATCCCCCCAACTCTGGCGGCACCCATATCGTCCCCACGATCACGCCTGCGTCTCGAGGCTTTGGTTGAGGATGACGACGTGTCGGCCCTGATCGATGCTCCCAGGTTGGTTGATCTCGAGGCACCATCTGAAGGATTTGTGGAAAGTAGCTTTGAGTATTACGACTTTGGGTCTCAAAAACAGTTAGTCACAGCGAAACCAACACTGTCTTCCCTGAGTTTAGTTAGTGCTGTACCAGTCAGACCTCCTTCCAGACCTCCAGAGCCTCGGAGGGAACACAGGGTGATAAAGCCCGCTCCTGCCAGACCAAGGAAAGTGCCCCCAGCGAGACCCATTCCTCCAGTGCGCCCCCAGCAGCCCGTGGCGAGGAATAACCCATATCCGTATGGGCCTAAGCTGCTTCCTGGACCGTTTGCTCCTCTCACGTCCAATCTGCCACCTGTCAGAGAGAACAGCGAGGAGCGGGTCGCCACGGAGTATAATTATGAAGAGGATCTCGATTACTACTACGACCCCGGGAATAATGAGGAGTCTAGGTATGAGGTACAGACCAAAGAGCCGTCTGTCTTGTTCGTCTTCGACAAGCCTGGCTACTCCCCTGAGGCCCCCACCACCATGGGCCCTCCCACGTAAGTTTACCCTCAATTACTACATATTTTATTTGCATGCAGGTTTAGTTGCTAACTAATTTTAGTTCATTTTTGGTGTGGTTTTAGCCAAAATACACTTCATATTATACAGTGTTCTCTGTCATATATCATGTGTGTACTTACCTATTTGTATTCTTCTATAAGAGTTCCGGTAATGCAGTCGGGTTCGTTCTCGACGCACAATCGAGAATTCCGGGTTCGAATCCCTGGCGGGACAAAAATGGTTGGGCACATTTCCTTTCACTAATGTCTCTGTTCACCTAGAAGTGAGTAGGTACTCAGGAATTAGTCAGCTTGTTGTGCGTTATTGTTATTTTAGATTCAGCTACTGGGAATAGAATGTTCCAAATAGCACGGGCTATGGTGAGCCCGTAGTGGTCTTATCTGGCACAAGACCGGGGCTGTAACATGTGGACATTGATGATTGATTGATGAAGATTAAGCCACCCAAAAGGTGGCACGGGCATGAATAGTCCGTAAGTGGTGGCCCTTTTGAGCCATTACCAGTATCAGTAGATGATACTGGAGATCTGTGGAGGTGCGGCTGCGCCCTGTGTGACGGGAGATGGCTCCCGTTGTGGACATTGACTAACTCATCGCTTATATACCGCTCTCACTGCATAAGACCCACTTAAGTGGGTCCGAAGCCTGGGGATTAGTGATACTGGCCTTAACGGCTTGGCGCGCCATCCATAAGTTTTTGTCTGGCACATCCTGCGAAGTCTAGTCATTATTGGCGAGGCTGTGCTGGATATGGACTAAACAAATCTCTATGGATGTATCAAATTCGATGTCCAGGAGCAGTTTTCCCTGTTGTCTGGCAGATTAGTCAACCCATCAACCTGAATGACAGTACATATAGTGGCTGTTTGGTCCAAAGTACCAATATGTAGTGATGGACCACCAGTAAACCATTTTTTGTACTATTAATTTGATGTCAGGAAAAAATAAAGCTAAAATCCAAACTTAAATATTCCTAGGCCTAGTATAGTACATATATGTACTGTATTAGGCCTACAGTAGGAGTGCAAGGAGAGGCGGAGTTAGGTCTTATAGTTATCTTGCATTAAGAACAGTTTCTGGTTTGTTCAAATTCAATAATTCGAAAGTTAACTTTCTGGTGGTCTATTTCTACATATTAGTGCGACCAAATAGCTAGTATAAGTACTTTCATTTTAGGAGGATGGGCTGAGATTAGTAGGTAACGCCAGAGGGAACATTCTGGCCTGACTGGCTTTCACATCGATGACATGTTCTTTCATGTTCTGGCATCTGGGTGTCCATTTCTCTTCTTCAGGCACGTCCTGACCTAATCCGGCACACATTTACTTCTGTCTGCCTGCCAGTACCTCAGGGAATTATTATTTTTAATCATATCTGGCGGACCTTCTTTACCACTCGGATGTGTGTTTGGGACATCGAAGTGCCGAAGCTGCGCCAGGTTTGTTGTCATAACACTGGCTTCCAGACTTGGAGAAATTTTAATGTCTGACAGTTTCGTGGCCTTCTCAGCTACGTTATCGGCCAGCTAATGTCAATATGCTTTGGTATCGAATTGATTACCTGATAATTGATTAATTTTCTTTTTAAGCCAAGACAGCCCAAAGTTCATTAGGGCTGTCAAATGACGTAACTGATGAAAATGCACGCAAGAGCTGTTATCCTACCTCAACTCCTCTGAAGCCTGCTCCTAGAAACTCATTTATTTCATGAGAATGTAGTTTGAAACTATTACATAGGGAACTCTCATAAAGGAACTATCATTCTCTCTCTCTCTCTCTCTCTCTCTCTCTCTCTCTCTCTCTCTCTCTCTCTCTCTCTCTCTCTCTCTCTCTCTCTCTCTCTCTCTCTCTCTCTCTCTCTCTCTCTCTCTCAGCCCTAGGAGAGTGATGACGTGTTGCAGGGCATCATGTAGGCGTGGTGTGCTCGACACTGACGAGGGGGTTCTAATAAGCGTGGATTGGTTGGCACTAACATCATTATGGAGGCACTCCTTCGTCGTCTCTGATTACTACACCAGACACACACACACACACACACACACACACACACACACACACACACACACACACACACACACACACACACACACACACACACACACAGATACATACATACATACATACATACATACATACATACATACACTCATTGCGACTGATGGATATAACATTTCATATTACCATTTAACGAGAAGCGATCCGTGCACTATAGCTGTCCCTTGTTAAAATTCACTAATGTATTTAACACCAATTGTCAGGGTTTAAGAAGTTTAGCACGAGTCGAACTTGTTCACTGCTTATTACTACCAGTGAAGAACACGTATATATATATCAATTATGAACAACACTACATCTAACTGGAAAAAGAAACAAAAATTCGACGGTAATTTTCCCTCTTTACAAAAAACAACTGTAGGGTAATGTTATATTATAACAAGAGAGCATTTGAGGGACTTTTTACATCACGGGGTCACATGGGGTCACATGGGGGTCACACGGGGTCACATGGGGGTCACACGGGGTCACACGGGGTACCATTACACCTGTCCCAACTTCCAAATGCTACTATCATTGGAATGAGAATTAAGGGAGGATGTGAAGAAAGATGGATGAGGAAGTGAGGAAAATCAAGACGGGAGGTACGGACCGGAGGAAGACTTGTTGCTGAAGAAATAATGACGTGGAGTGGAAAAGGAGAAGTATGTGATAGGAAAAGAGGGGGGGAAGACAGGGAAGTGAGGAGAAAGTGATTGGTAGGAATATGAGGGTGAAGGGGGTGAGTAATAGGGAGTTACTGGGTTAATTGAGGTGAATGGGAAGGTGAGGGTGGGTAGGGAGGTGTGGGGGGGAAGGTGAGGAATTGGAAAGTGATAGTAAGGGAACATGAGGGCGAAGGAGGGGAAGGTGAGGGAACATGAGGTAGAGGAGAGTGAGGAAACATGAGGTAGACGAGAGTGAGGGGACATTATTATTATTAACATCTTTATTGACAAAATTAGTGACAATTTTGCCTAATCTGAGGATTGCAATTAAGTCTTATTAAAGTGAGGATAATGCTGGTATTCACTGTCACTCAGGACAGAGGGTCATACACAAGACAAGAGGTCTAAACTGTAGGCGGAAACACACACATATATATATATATCATGGTTACAATCAATGTTTTAATGTATGAATATGTAAAAACAACTTTCTATTGTGCACTGCCACACAAGGGCAGGGATGGGTTCATACGTGATGCAGCTTAGAAGTAATATAAATAAAACGACATGAGGTAGAGGAGAGTGAGAGGACATGATGTAGAGGAGAGTGAGAGGACATGAGGTAGAGGAGAGTGAGAGGACATGAGGTAGAGGAGAGTGAGGGGACATGAGGTAGAGGAGAGTGAGAGGACATGATGTAGAGGAGAGTGAGAGGACATGATGTAGAGGAGAGTGAGAGGACATGAGGTAGAGGAGAGTGAGAGGACATGAGGTAGAGGAGAGTGAGAGGACATGAGGTAGAGGAGAGTGAGGGGACATGATGTAGAGGAGAGTGAGAGGACATGATGTAGAGGAGAGTGAGAGGACATGAGGTAGAGGAGAGTGAGAGGACATGAGGTAGAGGAGAGTGAGAGGACATGAAGTAGAGGAGAGTGAGAGGACATGATGTAGAGGAGAGTGAGAGGACATGATGTAGAGGAGAGTGAGAGGACATGATGTAGAGGAGAGTGAGAGGACATGAGGTAGAGGAGAGTGAGAGGACATGAGGTAGAGGAGAGTGAGAGGACATGAAGTAGAGGAGAGTGAGAGGACATGAGGTAGAGGAGAGTGAGGGGACATGATGTAGAGGAGAGTGAGGGGACATTATGTAGAGGAGAGTGAGAGGACATGATGTAGAGGAGAGTGAGAGGACATGATGTAGAGGAGAGTGAGAGGACATAATGTAGAGGAGAGTGAGGGGACATGAGGTAGAGGAGAGTGAGAGGACATGAGGTAGAGGAGAGTGAGGGGACATGAGGTAGAGGAGAGTGAGGGGACATGATGTAGAGGAGAGTGAGGGGACATGATGTAGAGGAGAGTGAGAGGACATGAGGTAGAGGAGAGTGAGGGGACATGAGGTAGAGGAGAGTGAGAGGACATGAGGTAGAGGAGAGTGAGAGGACATGAGGTAGAGGAGAGTGAGGGGACATGAGGTAGAGGAGAGTGAGAGGACATGATGTAGAGGAGAGTGAGAGGACATGATGTAGAGGAGAGTGAGAGGACATGAGGTAGAGGAGAGTGAGAGGACATGAGGTAGAGGAGAGTGAGGGGACGTGAAGTTGAAGAAAGTGAGGACATGAGGTAGAGGAGAGTGTGAGACATGAGGTAGAGAAGAGTGAGGGGAAAGGAGGGGGAGGGGAGGAGACATGAGGGTGAAGGAGGGGAGGGTGAGGAAACATGAGGGGTGAAGGGAGGGGAGGTAGTGATGATGGATAACACAGCTGTCCTCACACACGTGTCCCCTCGCCCTGTCATCTCTAGCTTCCAATTTTTTCCTTAACTCATGATAACACTTTTAATTAGAAGTTAATTGAATCTTGTATCCTTACTTGATTATGGGATTACTTATGATTAACAAATAATACGGACCAAATAATCACCTGATAACATGATACCATCCCATCACAATAGTTGTTCTCTTCAAGTCACTTGTGTTGTCCCGTCTTGAGTACTGCTCAGTATTCACTTCCCCCGTCTGAGCAGGAGAGATTGCAGAAATAGAGGGAGTACAGAGAACATATACGGCACGATAAAGCACCTAAATTATTGGGATCGTCTCAAAGCCCTTCAAATGTACACTAGCTAGAAAGAAGACGAGAGAGATATCAAATAATATACACATGCAAAATACTGGAGGGCCAGGTCCCAAATCTACACAGTAAAATAACAACATACTGGAGTGAACGATATGGAAGAAAATGCAGAATAGAACCAGTGAAGAGCAGGGGTGCCATAGGCACAATCAGAGAACACTGTATAAACATCAGAGGTCAGCGGTTGTTCAATGTCCTCCCAGCGACTATAAGAAATATTGCAGGGACAACCGTGGACATCTTCAAAATTGCCCGACCAACCGGGCTGTAGTGGATATGTGGGCCTGCGGGCCGCTCCAAGCAACAGCCTGGTGGACCAAACTCTCACAAGCCAAGCCTGACCTCGGGCCGGGCTTGGGGAGCAAAATTCCTCCCAGAACTCCATCAAGCAGGTACCAAATGATCCACAGATAACACGGACCAAATGGTCCACAGATAACACGGACCAAATGATCCACAGATAACACGGACCAAATGGTCCACAGATAACACGGACCAAGTGGTCCACAGAGCTCCTCTGTTTTGTGGTGACATTCCTCACTATCACCACTTTTCTAATTTTTTGCTTTGTGTGTTCACCTAGTTTTGCTTGCAAGGGTTGAGCTCTGCTCTTTCAACCCGCCTCTCAACTGTCAATCGATCAACTGTTACTAACTACTAACCAACCCCCCTCCCCCAGGAAGCAGGTTGTAACAGCTGTTTAACTACTAGGTACCTATTTACTGTTAGGTAACAGGCGCATCAGGGTGAAAGAAACTCTGCCCATCTGTTTCTGCTGGCACCGGGAATTGAACCCCTGGTCTACAAGACTACGTATTCAGCATGCTGTCCACTCGGCCACCAGCGCCTCTACTCGGCCACCAGTGCCCCGTGTGTGTGTGTGTGTGTGTGTGTGTGTATATACTCAACTAGTTGTACTCACCTAGTTGTACTTGCAGGGGTTGAGCTTTGGCTCTTTGGTCCTGCCTCTTAACTGTCAATCAACTGGTGTGTGTGTGTGTGACTACAAGGAAGTGAGGTCTAGTTCTTTTTGCCCCACCTACTAGTCTTTGCTGTAAGACTTCTGGAGGTGGGGCATATAATATAAACTTTGTAATTTCTTAATATTCTATTGCAAATACAGTAGTGTGAAGGTAAAAGTGATATAATATACTTAATTTAGTTTTTTTTTCAGACGAGCACCAACACCAAGTGACCCGTGGGACTGTGCACCAAGATGCCCCAGGTCAGTACCTCCCAGTTTTTTGAAGTTCTCAAACTCAGCAGTGTGAGTGAACTACAGTAGTCGAGTTCGTGCTCTTGCAAATACTGTAATCATATTTCTTAGCAACTCATCATCTTTTAAGTCTGATGTCTTTTTTTTCTATTTATGATCCATTTTTCAATGAGTGACCCCTATGTCATTCTTTAATTATAATTTTTTGTTTTTTTTTTGCCTGTATATTATATAAGTTTTCAATCTCTGTTTCTGACTAATGCATTCCAAAGAATTTACATATTGAGAGATATGGTTTTTAGGGATATACCAAATCTTACATTTTTTGCTAAATATAATCAATCACTCTATGAATTTTTGTGCCTGTCAGTGTTATCATGTATTACATTGTTATGGTAGGTGTGAATACCTGTGAGATATCTTTGAACTGATTCATGATCATACAGTCATTGAATACTTTCACATTGTGCTTTTTCCAGTAGACCAATACAGTTGTACATAATTATTTCGGGGTGTCTTTATCACACTCATCAATAATGCCAGCTCCAGTTTTTATATATTCTACTGGTATTTGTATCATCCCATTCTGTGGTAGTATGATAAATACTGTATCTTAACATTTGTTCAACATGCAAATTAGTCTTATAGGCAGAATAATAATAATAATAATTAATAATAATATTACGCTAATAATAATAATAATATCTAATAATATAATAATAATAATAATAATAATACTTTATTAATTAAAATGTGCAGACAAAAAACATATGACAAATATACAATTGTAGGTGAAAAGGTTTCACATAAAATTAAGCCCTACCATGCAAAGCATTTTGGGCAAAACTTAGAATAATTTTAATAACAGTAATTTATAGTTATAATGGGGTAAGCACTTAATACTAAATGAGAAGCCAACATATGTGGGATGTTGATAAAATATATATAATACTATAGTTGGAACAGGGACAGTAATTCCTGATGTTCTGGTGAAGGCATTTACACAAGTTTGGACATCATTGTTCCACATTGCCTTCAGGAAACTAACAAGCATGGTTGAGGCCTTTTTTTTTTAACAAGCTTAGGTATACACAGCAATGTATTGCTACCCTATTATGTATGACGGATTACAGAGTATAGCTAAAAAACCTAGATGAGTTAATCTAATATCCCCATCTCACAGGATGGTTACTCATACATAGGATCTGGAGAGAACATGAAATATGAGTTTAGTCTATTACCCTGCACTAGCAAACTCTGGGTAGAACACAAGAATATCTTCCAGTATTTTATGAGTGTAGGATTTGGATGGATAAATTGTCTTAAATTTGTACACATTACTACTTGTAGTATGTGGTTTGTTGTGTCCATGTGAGACAGACACCACCTCAGACTTATCATATTCAGTATATTTAAGTACAGCAACAGTAGTCTGCAATCTGTTTTGCAACATCAGAATATTCTTTATCTGATAATTCATGTTCCAAATCTTAATACTCCAATCATGCATGTTTTATGAATACATGGTAATTCATGTTTTTAATTAATACTGATAATAATAATAAAATATGTGGGGAGTAAAGTAACTATTATACACTGAGAGTTTTTGCAAGACGACGCTCTACGGAGGCAACATTTCTATTTTTATGTTTGATGATTGGGTGGAACAGACTAGATGAGGAAGTTGTCGAGGCCATTTTGATACACAGTTTTAAATATAAATATGATAAGAAAAATGAGGGAAATGAGCCACAGAACTTCAATGGTTTAAAATGCATTAGTTATTAACTTGGATTTGCAAAAAATTACCTGAAGCCAATAGAGAATTATGGCTCTCATACCAACTTACGAACCTCGGCTGTCTGACACTCATTTTGAATGCACTTGGATGTACAGTATGAATAACAACAACAACAACACATGTTTTTTATTTTTAATGTTATGCAGCAGCATAAATTGTGGTGTGTAGCATCAGAATGTAAGCATTAATTAGGTGGAAAAATCAGTGCTTCATCATAACAGGTACATAACAATGTTTGTGTCAACCTAGCAGTAAATATGTACTTAGTAGCTAGGCAACTCCTAAGTCAGTAGTTTGACCTAGGGGAAACCTCGATATAAGTCTTCAGTATATACTGTATTACAGTATATATGCAGAGAGTTCCTGTCTACAACAGTGGGAATTATTTCAATTCTTATACTATAACTGTAAGTGCATAATCCAGCACTAATAATTTTAAGTTTTATGAAAAAATAGTATTTCACTTTCCAATTATTATGTCTGACATAGGTTTTTTCTGTGCAGATACACACTGTTAGACTGGAGTATGGACTATGATGTGAGGCTCTACCCAGAGACTCTGTGGGTCAGCACTGTCATGATCTCAGACAACCGTGTCCTGGCTGAGCTTGAGGGATATATGCGTGTCCAAGACTACTTCTATGGCCTCAATGACCAAGGTGAAGGAGGGTGTTAAGTCACTTATAAATAGTCTATAAATTCTGATGTAATGACTCAAGTCTAATTACCTACTAAGTATACGGTAATTATGAGGTAAAAGCAACACATATGACACAAAGTACTGTACTGGGAAGACAGGACACCACAAGTAATTACACTTAGGTAATTACTTGTGGTGTCCCATCTTCCCAATACAGTACTTTGTGTCATATGACATTTTGGCCTCCATGATCTTCTCAAGAAACTTGTTTCAACTTCCTGCCACTCTATTTGTAAAAAAGGAAACTTTCTAATGTTTTTTGTTACACTGCATGCTTAGTTTGAATCTATGTCCTCTTGTTCTAGAAAAAAAGAGAGTTAGTTTAGTTCATTTATTATGCACCCCATACCCATCTTGTGGGCGGTAGTGTAAGGGGTTACAGAGGCACATAATGGACCCAGGGACTGAACGAAAGAGAGAGAGAGAGAGAGAGAGTGAGAGTGAGAGTGAGACCATCCGATCGACCGACCCGACCCGACCCGACTGACCGGAGACTGTGTACACAGTTTAGTGTGTTATGGCATAAAAGGCCCCTCAAGCTGAAGTGATATCTTTGTATTTATGGAATCCCCTACCCACCAAAGCTATAAAAGCCAAGACTATCTAATGGTAATCCTGTGCTTTAATGGATGGGTGGGGGGCCATCATCTGGGTAGGGACCCCAGTGTATTTTTTACTCAGGACCTACAATGCTCTTACGATGGCTCTGGATATGATGTAAAGTGAAAGGTAACCTACATCTGACTCTGCTCCTTACACAGGGATGGTGCTTAACCTGACGGTGCCCTTTGTGACGCAGATCAAGTTTGGCAAACATCCTGGTGTGCTAGAGGAGACCAATGACTATACAGTTTCCCTCTATGTCCAACCCACTTACTACCAGTATGGTGATCTCCCTACACCCATCAGCAATGAGGTATGTAATTATTTCACCTTATTCTCTCAATCGTAGACTGATTATTTTCCACTTTGTATTGCATTGTTTGGACATCAAAACCTCAAAACACATTGGTTCTAAGTGGCAAATCTGTTTCAGTTGCTCTACAATGAAAGATGAAACACATTTGAAAACTGTCAATTTATTTGTTCAGCTTTGGTTTTAATATTACAGTATGTAATTTGAAAAATAGCAGTAAGTGCTGGAGAAAAAGGTGTCATCAACTGTTCTTTTACCGATCAGTAATTAAGCTAGGGTTTTTTAATACACACACAAGTTTATCATTGTCACTTTCCATATTCATGTTTTGGGCAAATAAGACAGTACTAGAGTTCAAAATTCAGCTGGAAAAAATCCTCAGGAATAATGGGGGACCCCTTTGATAAGCTGCTGGCTTCCTATCAACACTGAGGCTACTAGTCATGGAGTGGCCTTAAATAAAGTCAGGTAAATAGCTAAGTGCAAAGATAGCATAAAAGCTCAGCAAGTTCATGAAGCCACAGTGTAGGCCAAACAACAGGAGATTCCTTTTATAATATTACTGGAATAATAATAATAATAATAATAATAATATTTAATAATAATGATGGTGATATACTTGTACTAGTACACTGTACAGTATTTACAAAGAAAAGTATACACTTGTTCAGATACATGGTACTGATATGAACTATAGCATTTTCTGGGGGGAGCCCTTATGGCTCCCCGGAGCTATCCATGGCTGATATGGATACCCTAACTATTTTGCATCAGTCGATGTGGGTGGAGTTCTAGGCCTAACAGGGACTACAAGCCGGAACCTGGCCCCCCTCACAGAGGCACGGGGAGCAATGGCCCATAGAAATGCACATGTGATTTGGAGCATTCTATATCTGCCATCAACTGGGATAGGCACCCAGAAAGGTAAGCACCACAAAACAAACCCCTATTGTAGTTAAGAACGAAAATTGGCAAACGAGTGAACAGAACTGCCCAATAGAAAACGAGTGAACAGAACTGCCCAATAGAAAACGAGCAAACATGCATGACGTCACATGAGCAGCACCGCATGTCTGCGCAGCTCCCTCCTTCCCGGGAGGGGGAAGAGGGAGCCCCAGACCCTCGCACCGGTGATCCCAGCCCATTCAGGGATACTGTACCTGCCCAAGTTCATTCAGGACTTGTCCCGTCTGAACCCTTGGGTTTCTTGCCCCACGTTTCGGATTACCACTGTGTCCCAGGTCCTGCTTCTGTTGGAGCCGGGCACTTGGATGGTGTCTCTGGACCTCAAGGACGCGTATTGGCACGTCCCTATTCAACTGGGGTGCGGGACTGGCTCGGTTTTGTTGTGGGGTGTCAAAGATACCGTTTTCGTTGTCTCCCTTTCGGGTTGAATCTGGCACCGGATAAGGCACGTGTTCACATGCCTTATCTGGGTCGTGGTGGCTCGTCTGCGTCTGTTAGGTGTTCGAATGTTGGCTTAACTCGATGACTGGCTGGTTTGGGCTCCCAGTCGGTCCTCGTGTCTGCTCGCCAGGGATTAGGTGCTTTCCCAGCTCACCGGGCTCGGGTTCCTGGTGAGCTGGAGGAAGTTCCGTCTGGTTCCCTCCCAGGTTTGGACCTGGCTAGGTCTTGTGTGGGACTCTCGGACCGCTTCCTTGTCCCTTCCTCTGGCGTCTCTCCTTCGGCTGCGGTCTTGCCTGTGCTTGTTTCTGGGGGGCTCCCAGGTCACCTGGCGGTTGCTCGAGGGTCTGTGTGGGAGCCTGAACTTTGTCTACCCACTACCCTACCCACCTGTTGGTCTACCCACCGGGTCGGATTTGGCTTTGTCGGCTGTTCTGGTTTCTTCTGGGATGTCCCATTCGCCAGCTTCCTCTTTGGATTTTTTTTTGGTTCTGTGCCTTGGCTCTTACCCGAGCCCTCACTCGATGTGTTAAAGGAAGCATTGTCTCTTGTCTGGGGCTTTGTGACCAGTGCTCACCAGGCCAGCCAGGGGCAGTGGGGTCCGTCCTTCTGTTGGGCCCTCAGCCCAACGGAAGGACGGGAGTTTATGGGGGTGTTTATGGGGGTGTGGTTTGCGCTTTGGAGGGTTCGTGTCACCAGCGGATTGACGATCCGGCTCCATTCGGACTGCTCCCCGGTGGTTCATTGCCTAAACCGAGGGGGTTCAATGCGGTCCTTGGCACTTTGGGGTTGGTTGCTTCGTGTGAATCATCTGCTTAGTTCTCGGGGTATGGCTCTCCTGGCCGTTCACGTCCAGGGGGTGTTAAACATCCTGTCCCGGTTCATTTCCCTGTCCATGGAATGGACGGTCAGCACCGACTCATTCAGTTGGCCCTGCCAGACGTTCGGGCACCCGGAGGTGGACCTCTTCGTATCGGCGTGGTCGAAGCATCTTCCAGTATATGTGGTGCCCTTCCCCGACTGCGAGGCTGTCGGGGTCAATGCCTTTCAGCAGGACTGGTCGAGGTGGGGGTTCCTGTACCTCTTTTTCCTGGTTCAGCTGTTGCTCCAGGTCCTGGCTCGCTTGGAGACTTACCAGGGGCAAGTAGTCCTCTTGGCCCCATGGTGACCGGCCTAGCCGTGGTTTCAGGCGCTGCTTGCCCGGTGTCCGAATCCGGAGGTTTTTCCGCGGCTCCGCCTCTTTCAGGAGATCGGCCCAGTCCGGTACGAGACTGGTTCGCTCTTCTCCTCGAGCCTTCGCGTTTGGTATTTTTGACTCGGGTTTATCACCATCTCTATGGTGCTCAAGTGGCATCTTTGATGGTTTCCCACTTGCGGGCTTCTTCTTGGCGGCAGTATGAAGTTTCCTGGCAGTCCTTCTGTTTCTTTTTAACTCTTCGTCGTTGCTCTTCACTTTCGGTTCGGATGGTGTTGTCCTTTCTCTTTTGGTTGTTCCAGGACCGTCATCTTATGCCTAATACTGTCACCTCATATCGTGCGGCGCTCTCGGAGCCGCTACAGCTTGCTTTCAGTATTGATGTTACTTCTGCACCATTTCGCAAGCTGTCTCGTGCATTGTTTCACCTCCGGCCTGATCATGCTCCACCTGAGCGGTCCTGGTCTTTGGACAGAGTACTCTCCTATCTCTCTTCTCCTCGGTTTGTTGTGGCCCCTTCGGTTCAGGATTGTTTTGCTAAGGCTCTTTTTCTGTTTGCATTAGCCTCTGGGGGTCGGGTGGCAGAGCTTTATGCTCTTCTTCGGTGCAGAGGTTTTTGTTTTTTTGGTTGTGGTCATAGGTATGTTCGTCTGCAGCTGTCTCCATCTTTTCTGGGGAAGAATGAGACTGCTGCTTTCCAGAGAGTTCCTTGAGTTGTTGATGCTTGGTTGGTCACTCTGGGGGTTCATCATGTGTAGTGTCTGGTTGCGGCCCTCCACTGTTATCTGCGCGCGACGGATTCTGTGTCCGGGGACGCGCTTTGGGTTGATCCAGTTTCCCTTCTTCCCTGTTCGCGGGTTCAGGTCTCCCAGGTCGTCCGCAGGGTGATTAAGTCTACCCAGCCTGCGGTCTATCCCCGTGCCCATGACTTTCGTAAGTTTGCTGCTCTTGCTGCCGTCTTTGGCAATATGTCTTGGGCTGACATTCAGGCACGGGGTTTTTGGCGGTTGAACAGTGTCCTGGCTGCATACTACCTCGTGAACGTTCCTGGGCTCAGTCGGTCCTGTGTAGTTTTGGGTCGGCGGTTGCAGCCCATTGTATCGACTTCGAGTTGAGGAGTGGAGCACCGACCGCCTCCCGGGTAGGTCCCCGTCTTCTTGTTTTGTCTTTGGTGAAGTAGCTCCGGGGAGCCATAGGGGCTCCCCCCAGAAAACCAGCATTGAATGTAATGAAATGCCATTTTCTGGGTGAGTCCCGGAGGCTCCACGGCAACCCTCCCTCTCTCCGGTTGGCGGTTTTTCATGTTTTTTTATTTCCAGCCTCAGAACTGGGATGAGGATCGCCGGCGTGAGGGTCTGCGCAAACATGCGGCGCAGCTCGTGTGACGTCATGCTTGTTTGCTCGTTTTTCTTTTGGGGAGTTCTGTCCACTCGTTTGATAATTTTCATTCTAAACCAGAATAGGGGGTTTGTTTTGTGGAGCTTACCTTTCTGGGTGCCTGTCCCAGTCGATGGCAGATATAGAATGCTCCAAATCACATGTGCATTTCCATGGGCCTTTGCTCCTTGTGCCTCTGTGAGGGGTCCAAGTTCTGACTCATGGTCCCCGGTAGGCCTAGAACTCAACCCACATCTATCCATATCCATATCAGCCATGGGTAGCTCCTGGGAGCCTCCGGGACTCACTCAGAAAATGGCATTTCATTACATTCAACGTTGGTTTTTTATGCTGAGGCTTTAGTGGGTGGATGAGCTTGAAGTTAAGGCATTGTAAACACGTAAATTTTTATTTAGGTTCTTGTGGATGAGTTAGAAGCAAAGACAGTGTTCGTGCACAGCTTTGAGGCAAATGTGTGGGATGTGACAGAGAACTTCCTGCAGGAGAAGGTTCAAACTCTGATGGAGCAGCTCAGACACAATGGTGAGGCCTTCCTTGATCGCTACTACTACCTCGCCTCCTACAGTAGGTGAGTGTTATGGGTAAATCAAAGAAGGAACGGAACTATTATTTCCATTTATCCCATACATTAAGTCATTGTCAACATCCCTCAGTAGTGAGAGGTGTTGCCACAAACCCATCTTTCCACCCTACAGTAAGTTATTGCTAAAGAATACACCATAAGTGTAAATGTTATCACAGTTTCAAGCCCCTTTCACCAACAATATGTGATCATCAAAAGACATTGCTTTAGTAAGCTTAGATTGGGACTCCAAGATGGCCACCATTTTCCTCCTGGGAACCATATGCTGCCTGTCTATATGTCTACTTTCCATGATCTGTTACAGTGGGCATGATATGTTTTGATTGGAACCAGTAGGCATTCCTGTATCTTTTTCCTACATTTGAGAATCTTTGCTTTCTGTTCTTTGGAAGTTGGAGATCTTACTTGGCTGTATGCCCCTTCCCTCTGTTTTTGGCCAGATATCTTGACTCGGTTTACTTTTCCTGTTTGCCTGCTAGTACTGTACAATGTTGATTCATTGAACTATATGGCATCAACTGCAATTTGTTGTAATGGGAGATTCGTTGCAACTGGAGATGCCTCCAGGATGCATTTCCCATGATCTACGGGCTAATTTCCCTTAGCAAAATTTTTTATTTTAACCTATAATATAATAGCTACCAAATGAACATGTCTGCAAACAAATTTTGCCACATTAGTTAAGAAAGGTGGGGTCCAAGAGCTAATAGCTTGATTCTGCAGCCACAAATAATAAAAACACCTAGCTTATTTCTCATGGCCACGTCCTCAAAATTATTATTTTTTTAATTGCTTGAACATTGTTTATTTATGTTGGCATAACATAAACAATGTTTAGTGATCATATTAATAGTGTGTTTTTCCTCAGATATGGATTTACCTTCTCTATTTGTCCTTACATATAATGACCAAACTACATAACAGAAGATGAAGAAGCGACGACATTTCGGTCTGTCCTGGACCATTATCAAGTCATATGTGATCAAGTCATCACATACGACTTGATAATGATCCAGGATGGACCGAAATGTTGTCTTTTCTTCATCTACTGGTTTGTGGTGTATTTGGTCATTATATCTTCAGCCACGTTATTGTGATTCATTGTCTCCATAAATCTTTCATATGAAGAAAGATTAACAAAGCTTAAGTTGCATTCACTGGAAAGGCGAAGAGTTAGGGGTGACATGATAGAGGTTTACAAGTGGATGAATGGACATAACCGGGGGATATTATTAGGGTATTAAAAGTATCAACACAGGACAGAACACGAAACAATGGGTATAAATTGGATAAGTTTAGATTTAGGAAAGACTTGGGTAAATACTGGTTCAGTAACAGGGTTGTTGATTTGTGGAACCAATTGCCGCGTAACATTGTGGAGGTGGGGTCCCTCGATTGTTTCAAGCACGGGTTGGACAAGTATATGAGTGGGATTGGGTGGTTATAAATAGGAGCTGCCTCGTATGGGCCAACAGGCCTTCTGCAGTTGCCTTTGTTCTTATGTTCTTCTTATGTTCTTATGTTCTATAATATAATAGCTACCAAATGAACATGTCTGCAAACAAATTTTGCCACATTAGTTAAGAAAGGTGGGGTCCAAGAGTTAATAGCTTGATTCTGCAGCCACAAATAATAAAAACACCTAGCTTATTTCTCATGGCCACGTCCTCAAAATTATTATTTTTTTAATTGCTTGAACATTGTTTATTTATGTTGGCATAACATAAACAATGTTTAGTGATCATATTAATAGTGTGTTTTTCCTCAGATATGGATTTACCTTCTCTATTTGTCCTTACATATAATGACCAAACTACATAACAGAAGATGAAGAAGCGACGACATTTCGGTCTGTCCTGGACCATTATCAAGTCATATGTGATCAAGTCATCACATACGACTTGATAATGGTCCAGGATGGACCGAAATGTTGTCTTTTCTTCATCTACTGGTTTGTGGTGTATTTGGTCATTATATCTTCAGCCACGTTATTGTGATTCATTGTCTCCATACGTATATTACTAATCTATTATCTTCCTTAATTCAATATATCTTTACTTATTCATCAATATCTCTTTAAAACTTGAGCAACTGTTTTCTCCCCATTACCTATCCACCAGTCCTTACTCATACTTTACCAATATGTTTCTGATTTACTCATGTATCTCATCGTTCATTTACCAGACCAGAGTTATACCAAGCAGTGTATTATGAAATATGGATCTACGCGACCAACTTCCGTGACCCGCAGACACACACAAGGTCTTCACAGTACAATCGACGGCCACAAACAAACAAGATCACGCAGAAGACTCTCAATAAACTCTGCAGAGGTAAAAGTGATTTGTATTTACTAGAAATGCCTTGTGTAGCTCTGGAACCTTTTAGTTATTCAGGGTCATCAACTTCTTCAAGAGAAAACTCTTCTCAACTTCTTGAGAAAATCGGTGAATTTGACGAAACTCCGAGTAAAGAGCTCTTGAGCTACACAAGACATTTTTATTTCATATTGTCCATAGTCATTTCAGTAATTTCAACATACTGCATATTGTACTGTACAGTATTTATATTTTGTTAGCAGAGCTCCAGGAAAATGCATGATGTAAATTTAATATGTATAATGATAACAAACTGCCAGTAGTTCACATGGTATATAATAATAGTAAACTGTTGGTGCCTTCTGTATAAGGAAAATGAACTGCTTATACATTCTGTATAATGAAGTAAATAGCATAAGCATTCTGTATACTGATTAAATTACTGGCATATTCTGCATAATGATAGTAAACTGCTGGTACATTCTACATAATGATAGTAAACTGCTGGTACATTCTACATAATGATAGTAAACTGATGGCACATTCTACATAATGATAGTAAACTGCTGGTACATTCTACATAATGATAGTAAACTGATGGCACATTCTAGCTAATGGTTTCCCATTATTGGGAAATGTACTTCCTAAGTACAGGAAGCCTGTACTTAGGCTGATTGAGATCCCCCTCTAGGCCAACTACCCATCTACCCAAGGGCGTAACCTTCAACAGTGTTCTAACTCGTGAGTACCTATTTACTGATTGATGAATAGATGCATCAAGTAAAAGGCAACTTGAACCAATGATCTGCCCTGCCAGGAGATCCAACCCGGATCCCTTGATTGTGAGCCACTGACACAAAATGCTGGTACATTCTGCATAACAGTTCAGGGACAGGGAGCCTCTTACATTTATTGAGGTTCCCCCACCCCCCCCTAGGCCAGCCGCTGATCATCTCCAGGATGCAACCCACAGTAGTTGCTTAATTCCAGGGGTACCTATTTTCTCCTAAATGAATAGAGATATCAGGTGAAAAGAAACATTGCCCAAATGCTTCTGTCCTATCCTATCACAAGGATTAAACTTAAAACCCTTGGTTGTGTACCAACATCATGGACCGCTGCACTGGTACATTCTGCATAATTAACTGCAGGTAGATTTACATAATAACTGTAAACTGTTGGTATATTCTGTGAATTATATTACACTGTTGATAAATTATTCATAATGATGTAACTAGGATTTATTTCTGATATATATATGAAAGGTTGCAACTTTAAAACTTGCAAAGCCACAGTGCAGATCATGCAACAGGTACCATTACTCCAAGAGAATAATAAATCTTGGCATTGCATACCTCAATGAAGATACTGAGTACTATTATTAATTGGAAAATACATCTGGACAAATTTATCAGACAAGTTTGAGAACTAAAACCCTTCATGAACCACAAGACTCCTGTCTAAAAAACTCTGTTTAGTGGAGTCTATTGCTGCCAGGCAAGGTGTTAATAAAATCCAGAAGAGATTGATCAGCTCTAAAGTGATGACATACAAAATTTTTAATGATAGATGATGGCATTCACCTGTTCTACAGAGCATGTGTAATCTAAAAGCAGGAAGGATATTTTTTACCATAGTTCTCTTATTATTATTACTTACTGTGTACAATACTTATCAAAGGTGAAGAGGTAGACATAACATTAATATATATGTTTCAGGTGGGCTTTTAAAAGCTATTGAAACTGAAGTGAAAGCAAGGCAATCTTGCTACAAATCTTATTCTTTTATAGGGGTCGAATGTCCTAAATTTGAGGTACTGAGAACATACAAATATGGTATCCAGAAGAGACGTTACTACCATGGACTCTTTGCCTCTACTTCCCCCAGAGAATGCCAGTTTACTACTATGAGTGTCTGGAAAGGTTTTATGCCCCTTCATCTTTACAAACATGGTAAGTAAGACAAAATAAGATTTTTTAATTGTTCTTAATAACTAGGATTTATTTAGTTCTCATGGTATGTTAACTATTCCACAATCCTCATAATTACAGGTCTACAAATGCTGCATAATATACCTGCAACAAACAATAGTAATATAAAATCTCTTGACTTATAAGGTTAACATCATTAAAAGTTTCTTTACTTGTATTTTCATATGAATAGCATTACCTAAACATTTATAAATAGGTTTTTCTGTGGGAAGCCTCTATGACTTTCTGGAGCTTATCGGGCTAATGTATGTTATATTAGACCTGGATATTAGCTATGGAGTTCAGACCTACCAGGGACCAGCACCAGAATCTTGCCCCTTCAGAGAGGTTTCAAGGAGCAATGGCCCGGGAAAACCCCCCTTGTGGTTAGGGGTTTTCCTTGTCTGCCATCGATCAGGGTTAGGCACCCAGAAAGGTAGGCATAACAAAACAAACCCCACATGGTAAGAAACTAAAACAAAAAACTGAACAGAGAGGTAGAAACTCCCTACAATCTCACATCACACTTTACTGCAGTGCCGCTCGTCCGCGCAGCCCTCCCCTCCCCAAGAGGGGGAGGGGAGCTTCTGGCTCTCCTCCGGCGCAGGGGTTTCTGCTCTTTTGGTACTGGTGGTAGGTTTGTATGTTTGCAGCCTTTCTCCATCCTTCTGGCGATGGCTGAGTTGGCTGCTTTCCAGAGGGGTCCTTGGGTTATTGATGCTTGGTTGGTTCGGCCGGGGGTGCGTCATGTGTTGTGTCTGGTTGTGGGTCTTCGCCGTTACCTGCATGCCGTGGCTGGGGATGTGCTTTGGGTTGATCCGGTTCCCTTCGTTCCCTGTTTCAGGGCTCGGGTCTACCAGGTTGCCCACAGGGTTCTTAGGTTTACCAGCCTGCGGTCTATCCTTGCGCCCGTGCCGTTCGGACGTTAGCAGCTTTCGCTGCCGTGTTTGGTGACATCTTGGGCTCATTTCGGGCGTGGGGATTTGGGGGTCGCACAGGTTCCTGGCCGCCCGTTATTTTGTGAGCGAGTCTGCTCCTGTGCATTCTTGTGTTGCTTTAGGTTGCAGGTTGCTGCCTGTTGTCTCGACCTCGTGTTGTGGAGTTCGTGGCAGCCGCCTCCCAGGTCAGTCCTTTCTTTTCATTCTCTTTGAGTATGTAGCTCCAGGGAGCTGTAGGGGTTCCCCACAGAAAACCAGTGTTGAATGTAATGAAACGCCATTTTCTGGGTAAGTCCCTGGCAACCCTCCCTCCCACCCATCGGCGGTTTTTCGCATTGGTTGAAGCTTAGCTTCTGAACTGGTGCTAGGCAGCCAGCGTGGTGAGGTCCGGGGCCCCCCCTCCCCCTCTTGGGGAGGGGAGAGCTGTACGAACGAGCGACGTGGCAGTAAAGTGTGATGTTTGCTTGTTTCCATGGGATTGTAGGGAGTTTCTACCTCTCTGTTCATTATTTGTTTTAGTTTCTTACCATGTGGGATTTGTTTTGTTATGCCTACCTTTCTGGGTGCCTAACCCCGGTCGATGGCAGATAAGGAAAACCCCCAACCACAAGGGGGTTTTCCAGGGTCATTGCTCCCTGAAACCTCTCTGAAGGGGCCAGGCAGGTTCTGGTGCTGGTCCCTGGTAGGTCTGAACTCCATAGCTAATGTCCCAGTCTAATATAACATACATTAGCCCGATAAGCTCCAGGGAGCTTCCGGGGCTCACCCAGAAAATGGCGTTTTATTACATTCAACGCTGGTTTTTTAGCAAACTAATGTTAGAACAAAGTAGTTTCAGGCATACAGATACTGTACAGGTATAAAAATCCAGCATTGAATATAACAAAATACCTCTTTCTGGAGGAACCCTGGTGGCTCCTCTAGAAGTTACATGCAAATGTGAATTTTCCCAAAAGCCATCATTTCTTGTGGTCTTGAGGAGGACAAGAAACTGGTGGCTTATTAAAAATCCACACGTTATTTTTTATCTTTTCCAGCTACTGTTTGAACTGGAGAACTGTCTTTGTGTTCGCAGCTTTGGTTGGTAGGCTGTTCCACGAGTTTGTTACTCTGTTGGTGAAAAAGTATCTCCTTTTGTCTATCCTTCATTGTGACTTGTTGAGCTTAAAGCTGTTGCCTCTTTTGTAAGTTACATTGGACCTTTTAAAGAAATTTTCTGAATTTAAGTCTTACAATTTCTTTACAAGTTCAGTAATTCAAAGGTCTCAATAAAAATCTCTTCTAAGGTCTCAATAAAAATCTCTTCTAAGGTCTCAATAAAAATCTCTTCAAAGGTCTCAACCAGGTACCTGGTTGTTAAATGATTTAGTGGGTCGTATTCCGGGAAAAATTTGGATTAAAGACCTGCCCAAAATGCTATGCGTGCTTTACAAGAATGTAAGAACTCTTGTATATACTGTATATAAATAAAAAAATAATAAAAATAAAAAAATAAAATAAAAATGTCTTCCTTTCAGATATTTCATAAACTAAACCTTATATATATATAACTAAACCTTATTCACATCTTTCAGGTGTCAATTCACATATGGAGGTGATTGAAGCAACACGACCTATAGCTCTTGTACATATACGAGATTCCACTGACCCTAATACTGAGTGTCCACAGAACCTTACAATGTCCCTCTATCTTCCGCAGCGACTGCACTCCAACCCTCCAATAACTGGATATGCTGCAGTTAGTATCCTTACAAAAAAATTATAAGTGCATGTTGTACTCTCATAACCACTTAAAAACATAACAATGCAGATATGTCTTAAACTTATATGTGTAAACCAAGGTGCTTCCTTATCACTGAGTACTGGGTGTGTGGCTTAGCTTTTTCTCTCCTGCATCCTAGCAGGATAGAAAGTGTATTTGCTTCTGAAGTTGTTGTTGGAGGTGGCATTCACAACATTCTCTTTCAGTGTCATTTCATTAAATTCAGTGTCTAATTTTGTAGGAAAAATTATTCAAATAATTTATTAATTTTGTCCTTTTGTAAAATAAAATAATCATATGAAAAATAAGTTTATGATACAAAATCTTATCAAACTGATTTCATGTACTCTTTGCAGCCTTCTGTACACATCACAGACTTAGATGATGTAATTGTGTATGCATACACTGTTGGAGGTTATCTTTTGGACCCTATCCGTGTACGCAAGGAGTTGTCTGACATGAAGTACAGGTTGTCAGAGTTTGGTGCCTGCTACAAAGATGATGAACATTATGTTGTCATATATGATTTCATAGTTAGGTAAGTGGTGAATCTGTTAATACAGTATTTTCATCAGCAAATATTATTAGATGAGATTGAAAATATATACAATATAGTATCTACCTGTATTTTATTATACTGTACATTTAAAACTGTCATAATTAATTTTGAAATAATCACATCTTTAGACTTTATATACAATACTTATTAGTTTATTTATTTATTTATAATAAAGTACTTGTTACTTATTAGATGAGAGTACATTTATTGGTGATTAAATGTGACATTCTGGCAAAGCCACTAACACGCATAGCATTTTTGGTGAGGATTTTGTTTAACATTTATCTTTCAACCCTCAGATATCATGGACGTCAAAATGAAATTTGGATAGTGGCAGAAAACTGCAAAGCGACACACAATGGCTAAACACAATTTTAATATTTAAACTGGTTACTTATGGTGTCAATATAGAATATGGAGATAAATATGCAAGTAATTCACATAAACAGCTTTGTGACTATTGTACAGTCTTTACAATTGAGATGATATCCTGAGCAAGGTTTGTATGTGAATTTTATACAAACAGTCTTGTAATGTAGATCTCCCATATGAAGATGAAATGATTTATGTCAACTTCTCATTAGAATCAGTAATGAAAGACAAGCTTTAATGTTGTATATATTTTAAATATTGTATTATCCTTAATGAAGATATCTTATATACCTACTAATTTGGGATACCTACAATTAATAGTTTACCTACACTGAATTGAGAATCATATTGTCATGTACGTAAGATTTGATCTTAATAATAAGTGTTGAATAATGGTTTAATGGCTAATGCTGTGTTGGAAATCATGTACAAAGATTAACTTTTTTGTACGCGGTAGATCCACTTGTTAACTTCTGTTCACTTTATGCTCAAAGTTAGCCACACAGTTATTAAGAAGCTCTGTAAGAAAAAGGGATACCATGAGGGAGAGTGCATGTGTCACCCTGCTGGACAGTGGGACACAACTTCTTAGATTGGTATGGGTGTATCCTGTCAGGGACAGGAAGCCCCTTAATTTGTTGATGTCCTCCCAGCCAAGGTCGCGGCTTTGTCCATGTAGTCACCCACTCTGTTGCCTTCCAAACTCAGTGGATACATCTACAGTACTATGGAAATGGCAGTAGTACTTACATTTTAAAAGGATGCTGTTGGACTCCACAAGGATTGATACAAAATGTTTTCTAATTTAATAATATGACTTATTATTTATTAGAAGATGTTGTGGATAGGACTTAATAACATAAATATAAATGCTGTAATTGTATTTTTATTAAATAATTTAACATCAGTCATTGAATGGAGAGAGCACTAAGTTCTGACAATGACATAGAGAATCACCAAGGTGAGAGTAGACCTTACTTGTAATGCCATTTTGCCCGTAAGCAGCTTTATAAAATAAATTTGATTTTGCATTTACATGCAAAACTTCATCTACAAGTTAAGTATCCTATTATCTTTGTATTTTTCAAGTCAACTGTTGTTCAGAGAGGTACTCAATTTTGCATACAGTGTATCCTACTTTAAATTAATTTTTCTTTGTTGAGTAATGAATTTAAATTACAATGTACATACTGTAAAAGATTTTATCCAGCAAATGTTCTAATACTGTACATAATCTAATTACTGTAGTGTACTTTTTTTTTTTTTTTTTTTTACAATTTATTTTGTTAACTAAGTGATTGTCATTCTTGTAAACCCTCAAATGACACAACCTGAGGTCCCAGGCAGCCTGCCTTCTAACTCTTCAGTAACTCATCTAACATCAGTAACTTCTGCCGAGACCTCTTTGACATCTTTCTTTCAACTAAGTGATGCAGGGTTTGTCTACATTGGTTCTGCTGGAGGCAAGTGCTATTTTTGTTTTCATTTAATCTTTATGAGTGTGTCTATTCCAGCCTTTTATTTACTTTTATAAGTATGAGGTAAATGGTAAATGTTCTCTAAGAAGAGACAGATTTAAATTTTGTTACAGAATTGAAAATATTTTGTAACTAAAAAACATAAATGCTAAATGAAAGTTCAGCATTTCAAAATGATTTCTGTACAGTATACAATATTTATTTTGAAGAGGTTGAATTTAAAATTGCAGCCTCATTATAGTTACACAACCGAATTTTCCATGAGGGCCACTATTTCCAGTGATTTATGGGGACAGGAAGCCAGTAATACGTCAAAGGTGCCCCCATTTTTCCTTGAGAATTTTTTCCAACTTGATTTTGAACTGCAGTAATGTCTTATAATGTTATAAATAGTTCTAAGCAGATATTACTCGATATTCCATACTCAAATAATGTATTTTAGATAAATCTATTATGGGAAGATTATATGATTTTCGTTTTAGTGGGCCAGCCAGAGGCTTAGGGCCTGCGCAGGAATATCCCTGCAAAAAAAAAAATGTGTTGTCTGTGTATTAGCAAAGTCAATAGGGGCAAAAGTAAAGTAAATTGGAAGGAATGATTAAGAATAGGTACCTATGTGCGAGATGTGATGGCAGAGAAATACTTGACGATATGAACTATGAGTACAGTATTGTAATTATCCAAGTGTAGTTACCTAAGTATAGTTACAGGATGAGAGCGAAGTTCATGATAGCCCGTCTTCTTTTTGTGTGTGCCAGAATGTCTGCTTTCCAAGTTGTATTAATCTCTAGCTACAGAAAAAGGCTAAAAAAATAAAAAATTGCAGGTACTAAAGATAATTTAAAAGATTAACTAACCAGTTTCAGCTTTTACTATGAAGGCTTAATTTAACTGCCTTTAAGATGTACTTACTGCTAACAGTCTTTAGCAAAACTACTTTCTTAATTTATATTCATTAAAGAGTGATTTTTGTAGAAATAAATGTAAGCCTTTTTTTTCTTATGTGTGAATTACGATACTGTACATTAAAATTACTGTATGTATATACTGTACATTATGTTAGTTTGTGATAGATTAAATGGATACAACATATAAGATCACAATAGAGATTAAAAATATGGCTTTGAATGAAATGAGGAGCTCTTTTCTGAGTGAGCCCCCCTTGGTTACTTTCTGAGTCAAACACTTGGTCCACTCAGGACAGGGTCAGGTATGCCAGGGCTTTGTCTAATTAAATCTCTCAATGCAGCCCATTTTTTTTTATTTGCCGCTCACTAGAAAATGCAATGTTTTTACCTAACCAGATATGAACCCAAATAACCCATCTACCCTATTGAGGCCAAGGCATAGAAAAGTCAATATCAATATTATGGTGCTTTCATTTTTACTGATTCTTGGTACTGTATATTCAGTGTACTGGTCAATTCCATAAAAAATGTGATATATATTAAGTATGATGACTGGGTGCAATGTGGCAGGTATATTTGCTGAAGATCTTGTCACAAAAGTTTGAGAAAGGAGACCCTGAAGAATTTTAAATCTAGTAGAGATTGTTTGAAATATATATATCAATCAGTGCAAGGATTAACGTGTGTTAACATCAGGTTAAGATGCAACAGAGCTAGATGATCATACAAATTTGGCTTATGGTAATTTTACAAATGTACAGAATTTAAAAATTAATGTAACTATAAGCCAGATTATTACCTGTACATGTATAGAACTATATAAGTGGCATTGAGCTATAGATGATGTGTGTTTCTTGGTCAGTTATATTAAGTACCATAGGATCTGGTCAGTAATAGATGTATGATTACAGGGACACAGCTGTGCCTATTGCTAGAGGAACTTCAACAGACTAATTAAGGGCAATTCATAGCACATCATTAAATAATTTTTTCTTTTATAGTTCCCATCCCTTCTAAAATATAAAATATTTATGTTCTCATTTTATCATCAAAAAACCTGTAGTCATTTTTTGGGGGTTAATTTCAATAAGCAGTGACTGGCTTTCGTTATATAATACATTTTACTGATATCATAGGCAGCATGTAATTACCTAAGTGTAGTTACAGGATGAGAGCTATGATCGTGGTGTCTTCTCTTCTCAGCACTCTTTGTCATATAGCGCTCTGAAACTCTTGATGGTTTTGGCCGCCATCCCTTTCTCACTTAACATGTTGCAACCGTCTACCACTCTGTTTGTGAAAGGGAATTTTCTTATATTCCTTTGGCAGCTTTGTTTATTTAGTTTAAATCTATGACACCTTATTCTTGAAGTTCCAGGTCTCAGGAATTATTCCCTATCAATTTTATTGATTCGCGTTACTGTTTCATATGTAGTGATCATATCGCCTCTTTTTCTCCTATCTTCTATATATAGAAATTTGCTAATTTAATGGGTATGGTTACAAATACATATCAGATGATGCTTCATGTTTATATTTCTTGCCACCACAGTGCTACATTATTAAAGTTTTGTACTCTGATAAAGGTTGTTTTATATAAATAACATGTAAACAGGCATTTGTAATGTACCAAATACTTAAATAACTGGAGAATATCACATTTAAATTTTTATTATTGGTATTTTTCAAGTATACAGTGATTTGTGCATAGATTAGACTCATACTTGAGTGTTTTATGGTTGTAAATAATATTAAAATCATCATACATTATATACAAAATTATGTACAATATATTAAATTATATCAGTTATACAGTATGTAAAACTTCAGTATTTACTATTCCTTATTTCATTATATGGTGTTGAATTTCTCAAAATTCTTTAATTGGGTAATTTTTTACAAAATTTCAACATGTAAACTGCATTACAGTTTGATAGTACTGTACATACTGTATTGCAAATTCATAGAAAAGTACAGTTGTGTAGGGCAACACTAGAAATACATTCTGAAAATTGATATAATGTAACGAAAACTATGTTTGCACATAATAAAAAAGTACTGTACAATAATAGTATCACATATGTCTTGGTCATTTTTATTTAGGTTTCATATTTTTTCTCATTTATACAGTATTTACAAAACAACAATGTAAATCGGGTTTAAGCAATTTATTAAGAAATGTTGGCCTAAAGGTTCATGGGACATGTTTACCCATCTCATAAACATTAAACTAATCTACTTCTTAACTACAGTATTATGTACTCAATTCCTAAATTAGAGGCTATACATTATTCTTAGACACTACATTTTTCTTGTTGTAATATTGACAATTTACAAGGTTTGCCCCGAGCAATCCTAAAATTACAGTATATACAAGTTGCATTACTCCTGGCAGTCATATGACGGGTACTTCTTCACTCATGCAAAACTGGATTAACATTTTGTGGGGCTAGTGCAAAACGGATTTATGAGCCTCCACTTAGCAAATGATTCTAAAATATATACAATAAGTGTGCTTCAAATAATTTGTTTAAAAAATGTGGCATTAAATTCTTATACAATAATAATAATAATAATAATAATAATCACAGAGAAATCACATTATCGTGATATATCAATGTAAAAATCAAGAAGAGCCGTGATGAGGGTTCAAACCTATGCGCTGGGTGTTCCCAGATGCATGCTCAAGTCAACTACGCCACGACATGGTAAAAGAATTGCAACCAGGGGTACAACGGCACCCTCGAGGATTCTTGTGGCTTCCACTGAAGCCGAAGCAGGCTTTCACACAATTCCCCCGTGGACTCTGGCTCTGTCGTCCAGTAATTCTACCTCTGATGCCCCTCTTTCAATACACAGAGAAATCACATTATCGTGACTTAGCAAATATCACTGATTATGATTCAAATATCATTAAAGCCTCAGGAATCCTCGAGGGTGCAGTAGTACCCCAGGTTGCAATTCTTTTACCATGTTGTGGCGCAGTAGTCTAGAGCGTGTATCTAGGATCACCCAGTGCATAGGTTCGAACCCTCATTACAGCTTCTGTGGATTTTCTCAATAATAATAATAATAATAATAATGAGAAAATCAGTAGGAGCCATGAGGCTCCTACTGATTCTCCTCAGAGAACCTATGCTCTGGGTACTCCTAAACAGATGTTCGAACCCTCATAATGGCTCCTACTGATTTTCTCATTGATACATTATGTTAATGAGATTTCGTTGTGCAATAATAATAATAATAATAATGCACAAATCTCAGGTTGCATGGCTTTTTACCATGTTGTGGTATAATTGTCTTGGGCATGTGAGTACCCAGATCATTGGTTCGAGTCCTTTAAATGGCTCCTACTGATTTTTTCAATAATAATAATAATAATAGTAGTAATAATAATATTTTATTCGTGAAATATGCATATACAAAAACATGGTATAGAGATATTTGAAGGTACAGGGCTGCATATTAAATAAAGCCACATGAAGCATTTTGCACAAAACTAATAAATTGAATAAATTTTTAATATATATAATGGAATAAACCCAATACTAAATGAGAAGTAAGCTATCACATGTGAGATATTAAAGAAATTTAGTAACGATAAACAATATAAAGGTGAAAAGGATGATAGGCATAGACTACTATTACAGAAGCTGTAGTGGGTGCCACTACACCCATGCCAGAGTGGGTGCCGATCGCAACTTTTGGCCCACTTGTCTGGGTCAATTCGGCATAGGGAGGATGAATGAGAATGGGCAACATCTGCTAGAACTCTGCTGCCTTCGTGGTCTCTGTGTCACCAACACGTTCTTCGGCATAAAACCTCAACACCGAGTCTCTTGGAGACACCCCAGATTCAAGCACTGGCACCAGCTTGACCTGATTCTTACCAGGAGTGCAAGTCTACCCAGCATCAAGATTACCTGTAGCTACCACAGTGCTGTCTGTGACACCGACCACTCCTTGGTATATAGCAGGGTCAAGATGCAAACAAAGAAGATTCATTACTCGAAAAAGGAGGGCAGACCTCGCATCGACACCACCAAGTCCCGCAACCAGGACAAGGTGGAAGATTTTGCACGTGTGCTCAAGGAAGCTCTCCCTGGCCCAGCCGGGGTCACCGCCTATAAAAGATGGGAGCACTTCAGAGACGCTGTGTTCAATGCTGCCATGTCCACCTTTGGCAAGAAGACCAGCAGGTCAACAGACTGGTTCGAGGCTCACTCAGAAGAGATGACACCTGTCATCGAAGAGAAGAGAAACGCCTTGGCAGCCTACAAAGCCTGCCCAAGTCAGCGCAACTTACAGATCCTTTGGGCCGTCCGCTGCAAAGTGCAGCAGAGCGCTAGGCGATGTGCCAACAACTATTGGCTCCAGCTCTGCTTCCAGATACAGGCTGCAGTGGATACAGGCAATGTAAGAGGAATGTATGACGGCATCGAGTGGGCCCTTGGCCGAGTCCAGAAGACCACTCCTCTGAAATCTGCCACAGGCGAGGTGATTCAGGACCAGACACTGCAGCTGAAGCGCTGGGTCAAGCACTACTCTGAGCTATATGCCAGGGAGAATGTGGTCACCAAAGATGCCCAGAGCGCCATTGAGTGCCTGCTTGTGTTAATGGAGCTCGACAATGAACCGACCCTCGAAGAACTCAGCGAGGTCCTAGACTCCCTTGCTTCTGGCAAAGCTCTTGGAAAAGATGGCATTCCTGCTGAGACCTTGAAGTGCTGCAGAGGTAGCCTGCTCATGGAGCTGCATGAAATTCTCTGCCTCTGCTGGAAAGAAGGAGAGGTGCCACAAGACATGAGGGACACCAACATCGTCACGCTGTAAAAGAATAAAGGTGACAGGGATGACTGCAACAATTACCGTGGAATCTCTCTCCTCAGTATTGTCGGAAAGCTGTTTGCTTGAATCACATTGAAGAGGCTCCAAGTACTTGCAGAGAGAGTCTATCCAGAATCACAATACGGATTCAGAGCTAACAGGTCCACCATCGACATGGTCTTTTCCCTCAGACAACTGCAGGAGAAATGCAGGGCAACAGAAGCAGCCACTCTTCGTAGCCTTCATATATTTGACGAAGGCCTTCGACCTCGTCAGCAGGGATGGCCTGTTCAAGATCCTTCCCAAGATCAGATGCCCACCCAGGCTCCTCAGCATCATCAGATCTTTCCAAGAGAACATGAAAGGCACCGTGGTCTTTGATGGCCTAACATCAGACGCCTTTGACATCCGAAGTGGAGTAAAGCAGGGCTGTGTCCTGGCTTCACAGTTATGCTGCAGCACGCCTTCGGATCTGCCACAGAAGGTATCTACCTCCGAACCAGGTCAGATGGAAAGCTCTTTAACCTCGCCAGGCTGAGAGCCAAGACAAAGGTTCGGCTGAGGTGTCTGCACGACTTCCTTTTTGCCGACGACGCAGCAGTCACTGCCCACTCAGCCGAAGACCTCCAACTGCTCATGACCCGCTGCAGCAAGGCCTGTCAGGCTTTCGGACTCACCATCAGCCTGAAGAAAACATAGGTCATGGGACAAGGAGTGGACTCCCCACCTGATATCGGCATCTCCGATTCCAAACTGGAAGTCATTCACGACTTCATGTACCTGGGTTCCACAATCTCTGACTTCTCCTCTCTTGATACCGAGCTAAACAAATGTGTTGGTAAGGCACCTACTACCATGTTCAGACTGACAAAGAGAGTGTGGGCAAACAATAGGCTGACTGAGTATACAAAGATTCAGGTTTACAGAGCCTGTGTCCTGAGCACTCTCCTTTATGGCAGTGAGTCTTGGACATTCCGTGCCCGTCAGGAAAGACAGCTGAATGCCTACCACATGTGTTACATTCGACACATCTTGGACATCACCTGGCAGGACAAGGTGACAAGCAACAACGTCCTGGGGAGAACTAGAATCACCAGCATGTATGCAATGCTGAAACAGAGACGAATGCACTGGCTCGGGCACGTGGTGCAAATGGGCGATGGCAGGATTCCCAAGGATCTCCTGTATGGAGAGCTGACGCAGGGAAAACGTCCAACAGGCAAGTCCCGGCTACGGTATAAAGACGTATGCAAGAGGGACCTGAAAGCCATGGACGTTGATCTTGCTACGTGGGAAACATGGGCCACAGACTGTTCAGTCTGGGGGCAGTCTATTCAAAGAGGTCTTTCCAAGTTCGAGGAGTTACTTGCCAAGAAATCGGAGGCAGAGAGACAGAGAAGGATAGCCGGTAGCCAGGAAGACAGACCAGAATCGAACTTCGTTTGTGCTCAGTGTGGGATGGACTGCCATTCTCGGATTGGCCTCATCAGTCACACCAGATGCTGCACCAGGATTGACAACCATAGCGCAACTCCATAGTCTCCCGAGACTGAAGGATGCCTACTACTAGTCGTATTTGGGTTCTCCAGCAAAAATCACACCCGGATAATTTTCTAGCAAAAATTCACCATATCTGGACAGAATTCCAGATAACCGGAGGCTAGGTTACATAAATTTTGAAGAACTACACATATAAAGATTTACAGTATGAAACAAGAACACTTAACTACAACAAGGTAAGTTAAACTTTCTCTTTTAAGTTATATTTTTGATTCATAGTGTGTGTGGAAATCCAAATTATGTTGGTTGTGGTACAAAAAATTGCAAATATGGTAATTTTTGGATTTCTCCTGTAAGAATTCTGCTTATCCGGATGTCTGGTTTATCCAGTGAGGGATCCTGTCCATATAATCTGGGTAAGTGAGCACAGACAGTACTGTATACACAAAAATATTCTATAGTAATGATTAATAATTTTTCAAAAGTTATTTTATCTATTAAAAAGCTTTATTGACAATAAATAATGTTTTTTTTTTATCTTAAAACTAGATTTCTGAAGCTAATGGGGATATGTGCAATATGTAATGGAAAGACATTTGACAAGCTGCTGACTTCCTGTCCCCTTCATGGCCACTAGAGATAGTGACCCTCAGGTAAATTCAGGTAAATATCACGGCATTATTATGCATATGATAAATATTTGTCAAAAACCTATTTATTTTAAATCAAAATACTGTACTTAAAATAGCAAAAATAAGAAACAAACTTTTATTAACATGTGATATGTTAATGATTTCTTGGTTTAAAACTTATCATATTCATATTTAAAATTTCTCCATGTGTACAGTATATATGTACATATGAGTTTATCTATACAGTATACACTTTCAATGTACATGGGATGCACAAATAACTTATTCCGTCAGTATTATTTACTCATTAAGTATTAAGTATAAGCTTCTGATAACTCTTTATTACAAAATGACACACTTAGAGTGATGCCTACCTGTATATGTATCACCATTGTGACCTGCTTTATGCATGTAACTAATGTATGACTAGAGTATCTGGGTAAAATGCAGAAAAATAATTTAAAATCAAGTCGATTTCATGTAAGTTTAGCCTGTGATGAGATCTAAGTGAAATGTGTAAAATCTTGTCTTTGTCTTGCACTTGAAGACTTTTCACAAGTTGACAGGTATCATTCATATCTAAGTGAGAGAGAAGAATTGTCTCAATGCATCATCCCTCAGTTTACCTGATTTTTTGTCTTTTTTTTAAATTTTCATAAAAAGCAATTTATTTACATAATTTATTTACATAAATTTACATAAATTGTGAGCCGACTTTGGAGACCACTACACAAGTTGCTCTATACAGCTTGTATAAATAAATAAATGAATAAATATTCACTACAAACAACCAGAGGTGGTACCCTCTAATATTAATATATATGTATGTGTGTATATATGTATATATATATATATATATATATATATATATATATATGTATATATATATATATATACTGTATATATATATATATATATATATATATATATATATATATATATATATATATATATATATATATATACACAGTATATATATATATATACATATATATATACATATATACATATATATATATATATATATATATATATATATATATATATATATATATATATATATATATATATATATATACATATATACATAATTTATTTATTTATTTTATAATTTTTAAAACTGGTATGAGAATGGAGGAGAGTGGTGGTGGTAGCAGCAGATTTAATGCTTCCCCTGTCCTTTGGAGCAGGAGATATGCGTGGATTGAAAGATATATCTCTTTGGTTGTAGATAATGCTGTCTAAATTGTGTTTGTATTGCAGTGAATTAATGTTTTGAGAATTTGCTTGTTCTGAAGAAGTTAGATTCCTTGTTATAACAGAAAGAAATTCTTTCCAAAGCCTTCTAGCACTACGTTCTCGAAATACATGAAATAGAAAAAGGAAGAACCCCTGAAGTGTGTTGAAAATGCTGAAGAGATATGAAAATAACAAGCGTCCTTTCCAAATGGCCAGGATCCCAAAGACCCAAGTGAAGCCTAAGAGAAAGAAAACACATATTGCCATTCTCAGCTGGCTTATCAAAAGTTCCCTTTCTGGCATGGTTGAGGTAACCTGGACACGCCCACAAGTTGCACCATAGATTATGAGGCAAAACATGATTAAGTTGATTGCCATTGTCAATGCCAAAGGGGGTAAGAAAGCATACTTGAAACCATCGCTGGACATCCAGCAGATTTTAGCATCAGGATTGTATTCATTTCCACTGTCATATAATGTACTGTCATATACAAGAACAACAATTATTGGGAGCACAGGTACACCCCAAGCACTTACAGAGGCTTTCCACATAAACCTGGGAATGTAAGTGCCTACCACCTTGACAAACTTGAGGTACTGGTGCACTGCTTCAACCAGCATCCAGCCAAAAGATGCGAGGATAAAGTAATGAAGAGCAACAGCAACGCCCCGGCACAAGATCACGTTCCAGGTTTGATCGATGCCTGCTAAAAAAATTACAATACTACAGAAAACAGAGAAAGACAGATTGACCAGAATCTTATTGCTTAATGGTCGTCTCCATTTCTTGAATAAAAAGAATGTGGTGAATACTAGCAATAGGCTGATAATTGACAAACTACACCCGATTATGGTTATCATATCAAGAACCACAGCATGAATGCCTTCGAATGCCTCATCATTATAGTTCATTAGTTGAGCAAAACAAGTTAAGTGATTGCAGAAACAAACACAGTGGTCACCTTCAGACTCGCCCTTCCAGCATCCCTCAGTTGACCATCCGCCCCTTCCTGAATTCTTTTTGAAATCCCAGTATACACATTTTGAATCATTTCCATGTCTTGAAGGCTTGAAGATTAATTTAACTGGTTCTTTGAGATTGTTTACAACTTTACCACCATATGTGGCTTGAATTATGTGTGTATTAACTGAGAAGTTGGGATATGACTCATTATCTTGAAATAGTTTTGGATTTCTGTAAACTGCAAAAGTTAACTGAATCTTTTGCTTCCTGTCAATTTGCATTTTAGCAAGTCTACCATTGTCAGAAGCAACAATCTGGGTAAGGTTTGTAGGGAATATAATTGCAGCATCGCTATCCTGCAGGTTAACTTTAGTTCCAATTTTCAGTGTTTCTTCCTCTTGCGTTCCTTTCATGGCTTTGTAACCAATAACAGTGGAATTTATTTCTAAATCTATCCTCTCAACAGAAACTAGTTCTCTGAATGCTTTCGACTTTTGGTCACCCTCATTTTCAGGGAGCTTCACTTTAAAGACAATGCTTTCGAAAGCTTCGAAGAGAATACTTGAAGAGTTTAATTTGCTCTGAATATGCTCAAATGCTTCACCGTCAGCTTCCATAACATTATTAAGTATCTCTACTATCTCTTCCAAATTAAGTTCAGTTACTGTATCCTCTTTTGATAATGAATGAAGCTTTGAAGCAACAAAATGTATATCAACTGGTTTAAGTGTACTTCCATTGGCAGTAAGAGTGGAGATAGTTGTTATAACACTGGATGTAGAAGATGAATTGGCCCAGTTAATTTCCCAAAGTTGTTTGGTGACATTGGAAGGCTGACCAGTACAACTTCCAGAGGGCATATCCCAGTGATAACCAACAAGGAAGTCTCCTACACACTCCCGGGTGACAGGTTCTCCCCTCAAGGTGATACAAAGTTCCTTGGGCAGTACGATGCTGCTACCTTCTATTTTTGGCCAAGTAAGATTTTTTTCACTAATGCCTTTGTCCACTGTGACATCACTGACGCAACCCACTGTACTCTTTATACTGGCTAGGGAACACTCGGAGAAATCTCCCTCAGTTGCAAATATTTCTGCTAATATTTCAAACATATCTTCCTCTGTTATCTTTGCAGTGGTATCATCAATTACTTCAAATTCCAAATGAAAATTGTGATATAAGCCTTGTGGTTGTATAGCAGGTGAGTAAAAGAAATTATCTGCACTTATGTTCACATTAAATAATGCCAGCCTTCGAAATTCTTCTTTAAGTCTTTCCGTAAAGGCAACTACACACTTCATCGAATTTCCCCTTTGTTGTGTGACAAGAGTGAATGTAGAGTCATGCAGCCTAGGTGTGTAGTCTATTTTCTGAAGAAGACTCACTGCAAACGTCAACATTTTTATGTTTGTGTTAAATATAATGTTGGATTGCACAGATTGGAATGGGCTCAGCATCCACGTTTGACACTGAAAATAACCTTGCCTGGCATGATCTATTCCATACATGTGTTCAGAGTTATTTATTTGTCTATGCTCAATTGGTCTACCATTCGCAAAACATCTAAGAGGATTAATGTAATCATCGAGCAATGCCACATTGATAATATCTATGTGCAAAAATAATGAAAAACTGTCTGTCTTATAGATCTTAACTTTGGTTGTTAACACGTTTGGAAGAACCTTCTGACACAAGACATTTGACAAGGACACATCTTTCCCTTCCTTGGACCATCCATCAACTCTTAGCACTGAGAAATCCAGTTTGTAATCTGTATCTGCCTTCCAGTTAATCATATCATCTGGTGAGTCTTCCATGCCTGGCTTATCATATAATTTTATTTCTGTATTCATCCATACAGCATCGACATCATAGCTGTATAAATATTGTCTATATACCCAGTCTAAAAAACCTATATTTGGAGAGGGAAGTTGAGCATTTTGTTTTGCACAAAATTTATCGGCTTCTGTCCATGTAAGATTCCCTGCATCTAGGAACATTTTAAAGCATATATATTGATCACTTTGAAGCCGAGTTGAGTGCCAACCCTTATCACAAGCCATTGATTCATCAATTAGTTTGGATACATTTAATTTCATATTCTTGCTTGAAATATTCTGCAAAGGTTGGACATCGATTAGAACAATAAACGGAAGGTCTGAATCACAAGGTTGCGTTAAAATTGTATTTGTCTTCATGTCTAGGGCCAGACAGTCTAGATCTGAATGGGGATGACGAGGAGCCCATGATATGTTGAAGAGGGGTGAACCCTCATAATGTGAGTATGGGTAGTCTGATGCTCCTGGACCCATGTAAGTAAGAGGAGCCAAAGGCACCAGTCTCTTAACTGGTAGCCACACTCTGTTATATCCCATCGTCTCTAACAGTTGTTTCACTATATTATAAACAGAAGTCGTTGCATCATCTGTTTGATGGAAGATGAAGGAATCGAGAATGCCTCTTTCTAAGCTGTTCTTATATATGGTCTTGAATCCAGTTTCCCATGTATCTGGAGAGGTTAATGAGAAACAAATGTGTTCGGCAACGCCGGTGTAATTACGTGGACAGTATTCGAACCTCTTGCACCTGGAGGGGTCAAAGTCTATTGTAGCTCCGTGTGTATAGTTCCAGCGACAGTGACCTGGCTGTAGCCTGTTGCTAGATATTTCACATCGGTAATTAAGAGGGTTGACTTTCCCTACCACACTGAATGGCCACACAATTTGATTTCCGTTGATGTACTTAACAGTTTGCTTAAAGCAGTACGACGAGAAAGCGGCTGAGGATATCTTGAAGTAGCCACTTTTGTCAAAGAGACCTTTATTGACTTGGCTTTCATTCTGAAAACGTTCCAGCACTCTCGTGAAGAGGTCACCCCTGTTGGGAATATGCACTTGGTAGCGATATTTAAAAACTGTTTCTGCACTTCCTGTGAGCTCCTTCTCGACAGAAATTAGGTCAACTGTATAATTATCAGAGTCAGGAAACTGAGCAGCAAAGGTATGGTTAATATGGAGGACGGCATCTTGAATTGTGAGTGGGGTATGGTGGTGGTGGTGGGCTGCTAACACAAACACCCTCCACTGATCCAACGTCACCAACACCTTGTTGCTGACCAAGCGGGCAGATGACCTGGGGACCCACGCCTCGCACCAGAAGGTTCCCTGCTTCAGCACCATGTGAGTCTCTTCTTCCATCCACGACTTGGTAGAGTCATGCACAAGGGCAGGAAACTCCACTTGGGTGAGGGAACTGATGTACACCTCGTCCTGGGAATAATACATGGAGCAAAATTTAAACATTTAGAAACTTAAATATGCATATAAATCAATACAGAGTAAAAAGAACTGTACATATAAAAATATTAAATTTACTATCCATACTAATACAAAATGCCAATTACTGACACGAGTTCATAAGGACACAATATCAACACTGAATAACGACTTTCTTACTTGAAGTCAAATGTTCATATGATTATTACTAAGGATTAGATGGCTTTTAAAACTGTGACTCCTACTTGTTGAGCAACTTTATTGAAGTAATTACACTAGTTACAGGATGAGAGCTACACTCGTGGTGTAATAAATAAATAATAATAGATAGTTTGCAATCAAGTAATAACGTGCTTGTCTCAGAAGCCAGACGTAGATATATAAGTATACTTATCAAGGGGTAAATATAAAAATGTTGTGGATTCCTTCTCACATTGGCCTGCAGGAACATGATAAAGTTGACGCCCTTGCTAAGGTTGCAGTAAATAAAGACAGAGTTGAATGGAATCTTGAGTTATCAAATAGGTCCCTTAAAAGTGTCATTAGACGAGAACTCGGAGTAATTTGAGGAAAGTAGAACAGTGAAAAGTGGAACTAGCAGGTCCATTGTTTATCACAATGAAATGTGTTAAGTAAAACATGTGTATGGGGCAAGTAACAAAATCAGCAGACTTACAGACGTTGTCACAGCTCGAATAAGACTTGGCTACAAGTATCTCTGGCAGTTCGGCTTGTAAAGGGATCTAGTTAAAGTTAAAGTGTAAAGTGTGCTGACAAAGACAGGTGACACACACGCGAACATTATATTTTACTACACGATTGTAGTAAAATTGAGCCATTTAGAGATAAATCTAAACTCACTCTGTATGCTATGGCAACCTATCATATTACTAAAGATAAAATACCTGAAATCCTTGCACTGTATCCATATTTCGCTCCCAGTAGATAAACAACATATGAGATTAAGAAACGAGCAGTGTATTGTGAAGACTATAACAAACAGCAGCTTCCATATGACTGTTGATGTGCTTCTTAAGATATAGGCACCATATAACCGCTTCTTAAGATATAGGCACCATATAACCGCTTCTTAAGATATAGGCACCATATAACCGCTTCTTAAGATATAGGCACCATATAACCGCTTCTTAAGATATAGGCACCATATAACCGCTTCTTAAGATATAGGCACCATATAACCGCTGCATATTCCAACCTTGGTCTCACAAAGGCCGTGAACAGTTTCTATTGTATTTCACCATCAATGTATGGTCAAAAAACCAATTCTGAAATTGGAAAGCCATTGTGCATAGCAGTCTCCTTGCCCAATGTTCTTTATGTGCAAAGAACCTATGCGATGCTATGCTATGCTGTGTACTCACCTAATTGTGCTTGCGGGGGTTGAGCTTTGTCTCTTTGGTCCCGCCTCTCAACTGTCAATCAACTGGTGTACAGATTCCTGAGCCTACTGGGCTCTATCATACCTACATTTGAAACTGTGTATGGAATCAGCCTCCACCACATCACTTCCTAGTGCATTCCACTTGTTAACTACTCGGACACTGAAAAAATTCTTTCTAATGTCTCTGTGGCTCATTTGGGTACCTGTGGCTCATTTGCTCATTTCCACCTGAGCCCCCTTGTTTGTGTTGTACCCGTGCTGAAGAGTTTGTCTTTGTCCACCCTGTCAATTCCCCTGAGAATTTTGTAGGTGGTTATGTCTCCCCTTACTCTTATGTTTTTCCAGGGACGTGAGGTTCAGCTCCTTCAGCCTTTCCTCGTAGCTCATACCTCTCAGTTCTGGGACAAGTCTGGTGGCATACCGTTGAATCTTCTCTAACTTTTTCTTGTGTTTAACTAGATATGGACTCCAGGCTGGAGCTGCATATTCCAGGATTGGTCGGACATAAGTGGTATACAGTGTCCTGAACGATTCCTTACACAAGTTTTAAAGGCAGTTCTTATGTTGGCCAACCTAGTATATGCGTGCATATGCGTGCGTGTGTGTGTGTGTGTGTGTGTGTGTGTGTGTGTGTGTGTGTGTGTGTGTGTGTGTGTGTGTGTGTGTGTGTGTGTGTGTGTGTGTGTGTGTGTGTGTACGAGATTAATATCATACTTTGCTCCAGAATACTGGTGGTTGACGGGTGAGAGTGCTTCCCGTGGAGATATGATGAGCCGTGCATGTGAGAGAGAGGTACTGGAAAGCCTCTTCACTCACACTAACCCAGCCGTCCCTCACATCCATGTTGGCCCTCACACGAAGCTCTACGTCACTGAAGTCTATTTCTGAAAGATTGTATTTGTTAAAAGACGTAGGACAGAACAGCATGAAAAATTATAAGACTTTATCACCAATATAAGCTATGAAGCTCAGGGAGCAGATATACCAAACCATGAGACCAGCCCAATGGTTTAACAAAGTTCCTTGAGGCAATGATACAGATCTTTGTTGGACACCGGAGCATCAGTAATGATACATAAAGGCAAATAATGAGCATGTGGGGAGGCCTAAAGATGACATACTGAGAAACAGTATTAAGCAGTAGTAAAACCACGCGAGCAAAATATATTGGTGAAATATCAGGAAACTGAAATTATTAAGCAGGAGTAATTTTTAGTCATATTTGGCATTATAAAATGTACCGCAGATGGGTACAGACAAGTCTTACATGAATGAGAACTGCTAACTAAAGGGCTAAAACTAAGGTGAGGTGCTGGAAGGGCGTGGAAGTGAAAGAAGAGCAAAAACATGAAATTATATTTAGAAACCAGTGTAGTATACAAAATTACGAAGAAGAAACCACTTTTGGTGTGAAGTTAACGCCAGAGAGAACATTTGCTGATTCGCAGGGGATCGATCATAAATCCTACCTGACGGAGGAGTGCGCAAGAGGCAGAAGAAGTTGAGGGTGCTGTTGCAGGGGTGGAGTTGGAAGCTGTTGGTGAGGAGGTTGAAGGCGGCACAATCTCTGCTCCACGGGAAAGGCGGGTCCATCCATGGCACGAAGTCCCCCATGGCTGCAGGACACGCTGTCAAGGTCTCAGTGTCCTTACGGGGCTACGTGTGGCTTGTCATAGGGTGCATGCAGAAGGCTGCCTACTGTCCAGTGATTGTTTCTGAGGTGGCTGACGGCAAGTCTGGTGTTGTTTACGGTGTTGTGATGTTACAGAGGATAATGGTACTGTGTTGTGATGCTGCAGATGATAACGATACTGTATTGTGATGCTGCAGATGATATACTGTATTGTGATTATCACTGGTGTGAATGATTGTCAATCTGGTGTTGCTTACTTATGTATTATTGTAGATGAGTGCTAGGATTGTGTTGCGTACAGTGTGGTTATTATATATGTGGATGGAAGTGAATTGGGTGTTATTCGCTTGGGTGGTAGAGAATTGGGTATTACTGGTGTGGATGACAGTGAAATGGGTATTATATACTGTTGTCGGGTATTATATACTGTTTTGTCGGGCATAATAGGCACAACCACCAGATGTAGCCTAGTAACGAGGCCGTGTGTGTCTAACTAGATAGTTTATTTTTTTATATAAACATTGTTGTAACTTTTATATAAATATATTGAGAGTTTTTAATGATTACCTGAGTGACTTCATGGTGTAAAATTTTACATATGTTAGGCAGTACTGAGGAATAATAAATATACTGTATATAGGATATGCGAGGCAACAAAATAGTTTTGACTCGAAATAAAAAAAAATTGCATGTAAGTATTAAATTTAACGTATCTTTCAATGCAGAAGAAAAATAATTAAGAAGCTTGATTTTTAAGTGAATTATATTTATTAGTCTAAAAATCACGACATTTGTGTTGATTTGTTTGATAAAAATATCAACCAGCCCTAAAATAGTCAATAATCAACCCTAAAATACTTATGTTTAAATTTAAAATTAACTCGTACACACTAATAGTGTCTGTCTGTCTGTCTGTCTGTCTGTCTGTCTGTCTGTCTCTGTCTCTGTCTCTGTCTCTGTCTCTGTCTCTGTCTCTGTCTCTCTCTCTGTCTCTCTCTCTCTCTCTCTCTCTCTCTCTCTCTCTCTCTCTCTCTCTCTCTCTCTCTCTCTCTCTCTCTCTCTCTCTCTCTCTCTCTCTCTCTCTCTCTCTCTCCCTCCCTCCCTCCCTCCCTCCCTCCACCAGAGGACACAGAAAGACCCTCACCAGGGTATTGGGACATCCACTGGTAGTGGCCGCCGTGCTGGGAGAGTGCCGTCCAAGTCACGTCGTGGAATGTGACGTTCCCCACAGGCCAGGTCAAGAATCCAAAGTGCTTGGTCAGGTTCTCTTCAAGCCACGTCATGTTTCTGGTTCGCCAAGCGTGTGTTAGCGGCCGTAGCTCCTTCCTCCCCGTCAGGAAGCCTCCATGACTGCGACAGAAGGTGTGGGCTGCCTGCCACCCCTGAGGAAGGTAGGGTAAGGAGTGTCAGCTGTGAATGATGGTCCCAACCATAGGCCGGGTAATAAAGAACTTTACAGTGTTTATAAGCATTCTATTCACAACGTTTCCCAAGATAACAATACGTGAACCGGAAAGCTTATTCATAGATGACACAGGCGATGAAAGCATTCTCCATCATATTTTATGCTCTTGTATCAAAGCCGATAAAACAGAACGTACTTTAGCATGAATTTTAAAAGCTATTCGCAGATAAAATACTGAAACCGAGGAGGGTAGAAATAGCCTAAGCTATTGCATCCGTTTGGGATGTATTTGATTGCCTCGGTAGACTTATTTGAACTAGATAACGAAATCATACGATCAGATCAAACCCATCCCTGAATACCTTAGGTACGGCATCTCATGCATATATCACGGTCATGTGATTTCATTGTGCTATTCACAAAATCCGTGGACCAAAGAAGAGTGCCTCGAAACTTGAAATTGGCTAATATTACTTCAGTTGTTTAAGAAAGTTGGGGAACGTGTAGATGAATCAGCGCAACTTCCCATACTTCAGAATCCTCGACAGAACTCTAATGGAATATAACTTTTCATTGGTGGGTATCAATAAGGTTCCTTTGAATGTTGTTTGGTTCTGATCCCTGAGGCTACGATTCCCCCACTCTAAGCAGCAGTCATACATCTCTTATATAGAAGTATATATATATGGTGTGTTTAATGTAATTGGTAATAAAATGTATTCCTATTCCAAGTAGGCTAATTCCTTGACATTTTTATATATCGTATTCTCATTAAACATCCAAATTATGTCTCGACGTTTAGAAAATAAATTAATAAAATAAACCGACAGTATTACCTGAAATATATTGTTATAATAATTACTATATTCATGCAATAAAGGTCAGTAAGATCACGGGCAAGCTAGGCAATACAATGACATACTATCATCAACAAGAGATAATGAGATGGAGACTGACCTAATTAAGAATGGGGACAACTGAGCATCACTCGTGGAATCTTACTCGCTTCCGGTAGTCATTTATTGTTTTTGCTTGGTATGCAGTAGTAATTTGTAATATCTTATAAATAATTTATAATGTTTTTTTACGCATTTAGTTACGTGGGAGTTACAGAAGCAGTAAACTAGTAACATTTTCGCTGGTAAATTTGTTATCATTAGTAATAATAGTAGTAGTGTAGAATTTATACTGGTAAATGTATATTGAGGAGTAATTGTAATAACGAAAGGTAATGTTTTATGAATTTTATATATATTTAGAAAAGTTTTATAATATACAGATTGAAGAGTAAAGATATTCAATAATTCAAGCGTGATGCAGTACTAAGGCAGAGTCTTTTTTTATTTATGTAGCTGATTTGAATTTCTTTTAGCAAATAAAGGAGCCTTCAAAGATACCATCACCCAAGATTTTGTAATGAAATTGAAAACGTCATACTCACCTTTGTACTATGGGTCCATTAAAAAGAACTGGGAACTTGGAAACATGTCTGATATATAAGCAGAGAAATTGATGCAACGATGACCATGTTAATGCTAGGACACACCAAACTGGCAGCCCACAGCTTTAAATACAGAACAGACATTAACGAACTCTGCATAAGCTGTCAGGTGCCAGAAACAATCGTACACTACCTCCTTCACTGTTTCCGACATCATAGTGCCAGAGTAAACTTCAAACAAGTATTTATAGCACTTAAAATACCCTTTACCATCGAACATTTATTAGGAGGTGACCTCTTGTTACAGAAAAAACTATCAAATAGTCAAAGCACTGGCTAAATATCTCCAGTCGACTGACAAATTGGGCCACATTGATTAATAAAGATTTAGCCACCCAAGAGGTGGCACGGGCATGAATAGCCCGTAAGTGATAAGGGCCACATTTAACCTGTGCCACATTTATACCTGGCGCCACCAACAGGCAAACACAAAAAAAGAACACTGCTTTTCCCAAAAAAGCGGTGGGTTTTCTGAGGGGAAGGAAAACGTATGTCTGGGAGCTGAGTCTAACCGCCCCAGCTGCGCGTGCAACGAGCCAATGTTATATAAGCTCTGCCCTCTGTTCTCGACATGCAAGCAGCTGCTCACTTACATACAATAATAATAATAATAATAATAATAATAATAATAATAATAATAATAATAATAATAATAATAATAATAATAATAATAATTTTTATTTAGGTAAGGTACATACATAAAGAGATTTTACAAAGTTTGTTGGCTTTATAGATAGAGCTAGTACATACAATGCCTAAAGCCACTATTACGCAAAGCGTTTCGGGCAGAAACGCTTACAAAACGCCTACCCTCCTCCCGGGATCCTCTGCATCCCCTGTTTCTTTTCCAAGGGACGACGCACAGGCAGGCTCAAGGGGCACTTGTTCTAGCTTGCTAAGCATTTGTGGTAACTTTCGGGGTGCTCCGCCGAAACCCCCAAAGTGATAAGCCTGCAGATAGCTAAGAAATATTACCATGAATTGTAATTAGTGTAAATTCAAATAATGCAACTTTCAATTACTAACTATAGATGTAACTATTAATTATAATTGATTTAATATTTTATCATTATAATGATTATTCATTATAATTATTCTTTAATACTTTATTGTTATGCATTAGTCACTAATTATTTATTATTCACCCTAATTAGCTATTTGATTCATTAAAAATAATCGCTTATCATTATACTATATTATTGTTATTATATTATTTATTATATAATAATAATAATTTATTATTTATTATTAATTTATTATTAATTTATTATTAATTTATTATTTACTATTATAAAATAAACTAGTCCCCAATCTGAGCGCGTTTTCTTCCAACCGCAGAAAACAACTTCCTCGCTGCAGCACCAACGATCAGCTGACGCCATAAACACAATATCTTACCCTACAATGCGGCAAGTATCCCTCTAACACACACCTCTGTTTTAGTCGTCGCTCCTCTATCTACAGCACAACGCAACAAACACTTGAAACTCTTATCATTCTCAACATAAACGCGTCCCAACATTTGTACTCGTGCCGTCATCGGTAGGATAAACCCTTTATACAAACTGCGCCTACTATCAAGAAGGGAGACAGCATCCACTCACCATGAGCACATCCGATCCCTCAATCGGCGTCGCCCCTTAACCAACCACATCTACTCACCATGGGTCGCGGACTGGCTAGGAAACAGTCGGTAGCAACTCTAGAGGTGCAGCTGGGAATGATGAGTTCAGGTTCTGGCTGGGAGTAGAAGAATGGGTCATCTGTCGACCATGGTATATCTGTATTTGAAGATGAGTCGTCGTCTGTCGACCATGGTATATCTGCATTTGAAGATGAGGAGTCGTCCGTATTTGAGCGTATAGTTGGATTCGTGGCCGAGGCAAGTCTTTCCTGGGCTGCCACCAACACCAGCAAGAAGCATAGTACTCTCCTGCAGGAGAACCCCTGCAGGAAAGTGAGTTGTCCGGTGGCTACCAGGCGTGGTACTGTTCGCGTCATGGCTGGTGGAGGGGCAGACGCCTGGGTTCGCCGCCCACTAACTTTCTCGGTAAGAAAGCACTAATGTTTCTGTTATTTTATATAAATGTAATCAATTATTTGTTAGCAATACAAGTTCTGTTCTATAACACACATACATTACGAATATACGCACACAAGGAACTGAAAAACCTTGCCTGCTCCGGTTGTCTTTATGACCCCCAAGAATTTATTTGTTTTCCCCAACATAAATAAAATCTGAGAATAAAGACCACGACGACCCACGTTTTGTCCTCTCATCTACACACATGGAGTCTTCCACTATTTCCGACCGTCTCTGTGTGGAGGAGCACACGCATGTAACCAGCAAGAAGGTGCTATGCTGGTGGCGACCCTCTCGTAGCCTGTCACACGGTTGTACTACGGCAGCACCACAGAAGGGGGGGGGGGTAGAAATAGCCTAAGCTACTCTATCCCTTTGAGATGTATTTCTATCTTGTCTCAATAAACATATTTGAACTTGAAGCACCACAGATAAATACATTTTATAGAGATGTAATGAATGGATATGGCTTTAACACGACGAGTTCACGTTCTAATCTTGGAATCTTCTTGTTATTGTTATAAAAAATCGTAGTTTTGTATGAATTATATTACTGCACAAAAAGCAGTAATATAAAGAATGTTTTGTGTAGCCTTTTCGAGCAGATGTTGATGAATGATATAAGAGTCTTTACAGTTTGTTGTTAGTCGAGTCTAATTAAATTTCTGTTAAGAAGTTATTAAGTGTCCGTTATTTACTATAGTAAAAATAATTATAAAGCTGTGACAACATTACTTGGACTGGTTCTGCTTGAAAAATGTAATGCTGAGAGTATTGTAGAGGGAATTAAACCATAATTATGGGGTAGAATGTTTGACTTGAAGAAACTTGTTGGAATAGGAACAGATAACGCGAGTGTTATGATTGAAATTAATAAATTAGTTTTGCATAATGCAGAAATATCACGGTAACTAGCATTATTAGTCGTTATTATTTCATTAAATTTTTGTGTTATTATTGATATTTTCGTTAATTGAACTGGAGGAGGATTAGTAATACATAATAGATTTTATAAATCATTTATAGATGTATATATGAAAAATAGAGATCTTTTTAATGCTCCTTTAAAGCACGTTTGGTACACCATTTTCTGTCCAGTGTGGCAACTCGAGAGGATGGACTGGATGTAGACCTGACCAGCCAAGTGTGACAATGAAGGTGAAGGAAAGACCCATTGTATGTGTGTATTAAAAACGAAATTTTCTGATATAGCCTACATCCTTTCTCAAGGTGCTGTATACAATGTTCTAAACATTGTATACACTACTGTACCTTGAGAAAGGATGTTGGTTACATCCGAAAATTTGGTTTGGGTCCTTAACAAAGACTAGGTAATAAATAATTTTGTATTAAAGATTTTGACAAATCTTCATTGATGGAGTTGTCTCTGTTTGTCTTTCACTTGCATTGTGATGTAGGGACTGCAAATATTTTTACTGACACAATTTACATGTTGTCACATCTATATCAGCAGCAGTAGTAAATAGGAGTCTGCTGATTTTATGAGTACGGTCTAAGACGTCATCGCTGCTCTTTAAACAAACCAAACCTAACTTAACCCAACAAAAGTAAGAGATACAAATATTTGGTGTGGACGAGGTGTATGATGTTATTGTGACGTCATAATTGTTATGCCAATGCAACCTTTAGATCTGACTTGACTTTATTGGAGCACCCATAGACGTGTGATGATTGACGCAGTAGGTATTATATGTTTAGCTTTACTTCAGATTTAATTTGAAGTTGTCTGTATATTAATGATCTCAAGCTGCTTATAGCCAATCAACGGTTATAAACATCTTGTTTGAAAGCATGCTTTACCCAACTAATATACTCTACCATCAATTGGGTGGCCAGCATATGATGGAATCCACATGAATTATATTCATCAATATAACTTTCCCTTAAATTTAAACTCCACCAGGAAGCCTACTCTCACCTCCTATAATTTTTTTCCAAACGTTTCAACTATTAAAAGGGATGCTTAGTTAAACAAACACAGCTTTACCTCCTGTGGTCATTGTTTAACATTAACCCTTCCACCACCGCCCACAGGGGTGGGTGTGGGGATGCACGTTCCACCGCCCACGGGGGGGTGGGTGTGGGGGTGCACGTTCCACCACCGCCCACGGCCGTGGGTGTGGGGGTGCACGTTCCACCGCCCACGGGGGTGGGTGTGGGGGTGCACGTTCCACCACGGCCCACGAGGGTGGGTGTGGGGTGCTTGATAAACTAATGGGAGTCAAATTTAAATAATTCCACACCAAAGAAACTTACTTGGCTTACATAACTTTGGAGGGTCCATATTCTGAACCTTCTAGAACGTTCGTCACTGTATCCCTTTCCCCACCTCCTACACAACGGGTTTGGGTACATAACCGAATTCAACTACAAACTCTTGGTAGAGTTTAGAATGTTCCATTTTTCACTGAAATCAAGTAGTGTTATTTGGTGAAAGCTTTTGCAAATTATTCTTAAAAGAAAACACTGTTTTTACCTTTCATTTGATTCACTGGTTTATTGTTATTATTTTGTCGTTAACGTATTACTATTATTATTTTTATTATTATTAAAACATTTCAATATTTTCATTTTATTATTTTCACCATTAAAACCTTAAACTTCATTTTCAGTTGGACACAAAGAAGCGTTCAGAAGGGCATGAGAACAGATACCCGAAAGGAACTGCCAAACACAGTAAGTACGTGTTGCACGCTGGTTGCAGACACGTTGCACACGACCCTCCACCACCGTTTAGCACACTCACGTCACCTACTGTGAGTTATACCTCACTGTTGTGCCGCCGCACTGACTCAACCACAGTAGTACTTGAAGAACTGGTGACACAGGCAGTGCGGGAAGGTAAGTGCTGCTCCTTCATACACACATGGTCGATCACTATAAGCTTTGACGATCAAGTCTTGAGCTCTAGGGGAAAAGGTGTTTATGTAAGAGTGGTCGTGGTTACCGACACAGGGACAGGATATCCTCTCCAAGAAAGTGAGCTCCCGCCAAGCTACTCATGCCCCCGCAATGGAGAAAACCAAAATCCCGCTTATGGCAACCACTGTAGGACTGCGATACATTGACATAGGCAGTTGACTGTTATACTCTCGTTAGTGTCGTTATTGTAATTCAAGTTCAAGTATGTTTATTGAGACAAGAAAAATAAAATACATCTCAGAGGGATAGAGCAGCTTAGGCTATTTCTACCCGCCTATTGTCATTCATAACCTATGCTGTGACTAACGGCTATTTTGGCTGCAAGCTTTCTGCGCTTCTGTAATTCTACCGGCGTGTTCGTCGGTAGATTTAATACAATTAAAGTATTAAATTGCTTAAATAATTGCGCAGTGAGCCAGTTCAGACTTATTTAAAACAGCCAGAACACTTGTAAGATAAGTTTAATCATTTCCTAAGTTAAACCGCTCTATTAGCGGTGTGGTAAGTCATATCTCTTTCTTTCACTCAAAATATTAGGGTATATTTTGCAATTTAGTGCAGTTTTGTACATTACACTAAATTGCAAAATTTTTGTAACATTGTACATTTATGTACATTGCATTAAATTGCAAGGGAAATTTTGTACACATTGTTAATTTATGATAGGCCTATAGTGTAAATAACACCTAATAATTTAAACACAACCAAACCTAGACCGAACTAGAAAACCAGACCAAACCAAACCATGTAACCTAATCTTGGCCAATGTACAAAACGTTTTTTTATCATCTATTGGGCTATAAAATAAGTAATCCTCCTGGTAGCAGTGCAGCGGTATCTACACTATGATAAAGACACACCACTGCATTAGAAGCGTAGGAAGGATTGCAGTAACCCAATCAATCCTGGAATTGCCTAACAAAACCGGAAAATAACAACGGTTCAATATACGTCACCTATTCATGACGTCAAGAGTGTGATTCAGCGAATCAGAATTCTTGCCAGTAAGCTGCCGGTTAAGACTTGGGCTGGTCTGGCTCAACCTTGAAGACGAGCGAACGCCTGGACACCTCTGCTAAGGGGCCGCAGGAGAACGTGACGCGATTTTACATATTCGGTCTCGATACTGTCGTCAGGTATTCCTCTTCAAGGGACTGTTAGGCGTCTTTTCCTCTTACCGCCTGGGGCCACAGGAAAGTTGATGGATTTTTTTTTTCCGTTTTCTGGCTGGTTCTTAAGTGGAAATGGTGTCCGTCGCCGGCTTGGCCGAGAGGTGCCGGGAGTTGGCGGGTCTTGGAGGTTTGGCCGGCCTTAGGTTCTGCTGAGGCCCAATCGGGAACATTTTGGGCGGGACCCTAAGGTTCATAGCCAAGGCTTGATTTAGCAAAACTATTAACAATATTAACTATATTTTTTGTTCAGTAAACAAAAACATTCAAACTGTAAATGCATTGTTGGAAAGAAATTATCTTTTTTAAATTTCCATAAACTTACTTTTATTATAACAAAAATATTATTCTTGCATACATGTTCAAGTCAATTCAAGCTTTTAGGGCAAAAAATCACTAGCCTATTTTTTCCTAATGTCCCTTAGTCTTTTACCGATATCTAAAGGATTCTGAAAAACCCACAAAACAATAAAAGTTGCATTCATCACTGAACTGATAAAACACAGCAAACTGTAATGAATACCTGACTCATATCTGTCGAATTGAGTAGACATAAACATTAGCTTGCTAGTTTGTTTGGTTTATGACAAGCCTATATAAGTTTAGCTCTGTTAGAAACCAGTTTTACATGACAAGACTATAGGAGATTACCGTAGCGCTGGGGGCCCCTTGAACCCTGGGCCAAAAGCTGGCCCTGCTTGGTGGGCTCCTGGAGGGCCCTCAGGGCGTGGTGAGTGACTGACCTGCTCTGTCAGAGGTCACTGGAAAACGTAGTTGCGTATTTGCCCAATTGGGTGCGAGTATAAGAGAGGGCCATCGCGTTTTACCTTGTCGTTGTTTAACCCGGTGTTCTCTGTGTGGGGTTGGGCCGGTGCTTGCTTCCCTTAGGGACCCCTGGCTTGGCGCCTTTCCCCTCTCTCCCATGCACTCCTACTCCCTGAGGGACCGCCGGGGCTCCCCCAAACACCTGCCTTCCAGTGTGTTCATCCGCTGCGAGGCGCATTAGTTTCCGCCGACAGGCGAGGTTAGTGTAGCCATAAGGCTCTGGGGCCAGATTCACGAAAGAACTTACGCAAGCACTTACGAACGTGTACATCTTTCCTCAATCTTTGACGGCTTTGGTTACATTTATTAAACAGTTTACAAGCATGAAAACTTCCCATTCAACTGTTGTTATTGTTATAAACAGCTTTCTAGTGCTTCGGAGCTCATTAGCTGTTTAATAATTGGAAACAAAGCCGCCAAAGATTGAGAAAAGATGCACAGGTCCGTAAGTGCTTGCGTAAGTTCTTTCGTGAATCTGGCCCCTGTGTTTTACTTTTAAGAGAACGCCAGGACAAATTCGGCACCACCGCCCCCAAGTCAACAACAATAGTTAGGACTTACAGCTTGCTGGTTACAACAGTCACCTCGATCATTTGATTTTGAGATGCAGAAAATTTGTTAATATTTAGCATAAGGAAGGTATTATTTTTATTATAATATGTGGTAAGCGAGAAATATTTTTGGTGAAGATTTAATTATGATTTATGTTGTAATAGATCTGTTGTTATAGTCAGGGTATAAGCATCCATACTTTGCTAACATCCTTAGGTATATTCCTGTGTATTTATACACGCTTACTGCCTCGCTGTATATCTGCCTGGGTATCACTATATATATATTCTGAAATATTTGATAAGCTTGGGTGTAGACCACATATTGTACTGGCTTCGTGGGCGGTGAGTGGCTTACCCAGGTGTGTTCTCTCTCTCTCTCTCTCTCTCTCTCTCTCTCTCTCTCTCTCTCTCTCTCTCTCTCTCTCTCTCTCTCTCTCTCTCTCTCTTTTCATCTTTTACTCTCACCCTCCTTTCTCCTCGCTTTCATTTCCTCTCTCATGCTTTCTTTCACCTATCCTGCTTTCATTCATTCCTCCCTTTCTCCTTCTCTTTCCTCCTTCTTTATTCCTCCCTCTTTCATCCCACTCTTCCATCCTGTGCCTCGCTCCCCCACCTACCCCCACCCCCCAACCTCCCTCCCTTCCCCTCCGTACTGATTGGGAAGCAGGTCTGAATGAAATCTCTTGCAACTAAGCTGCTTATAGTCCTATTTTTACCCCCAAAACACTCTCATATGTCGTCTAAAACCTTCTTTTGTTTTGTTTCAACTTAACGTTTGGTGGCAAGTGTACTACGTTTTCTTTAGAGGGCTTTAGAGGACTTGATGTCACAAAAACTCTTCATTCGTGTCAGTCAGTCAGCGCTCACTGAGAGGCTTAATGCAGAGTAGAGGAGAACAGTAGGGTAAAAGGGTTAAGACAGCACTCTTGCAATATTGCACAAGAGGGGATCCTGCGATTGCACAAAGGAATTTCATTAACATTTGCAGTTAAATGGGTGTAGGGGAGGGGTGGGGCATCTTGCTAGGGTGGTGTTGGAGGTAAGGGGGGGGGGGCTATAAGAGGGAAGGAGGGTATGAGGGAGAGGAGTTATGAGGGAGAAGGGTTGTGAGGGAGGGATGGGGTAGGGAACGAGGTTATGAGGGAGGGAAGGGGGTTATGAGGGAGGTGTATTATTATTGGGATACATCTTTTAGTGCCTCGGAGTTCATTAACTCTTAAATAAATGTAAACAAAACCATCGTGATTGAGGGAAGATGGACGGGTTTCGTAAGTAGCAGACGTAAGTGGTAGATTAATTCTATTCCACTGCTGTTTATACACCTGCCCGAGCACCGGACGTAGCCATCAGTGTCCCGTCACCACCCAATAGCTGTGTCTAAAATAATTGTTGTGGTCCTTGGTAACTTACTAAGGCCGCTCATGTGTCAGTTATGTCTTGTGTAATGCTGGTGAGTGGTCCTTCGGGGGACGGTGATGGCTCTCCAGATGGTCCCACGAAGCTTGGCGAGTATCTTGCAGCTTGAAAGCTTCGTAACGTATGTGTGTGTGTGTGTGTGTGTGTGTGTGTGTGTGTGTTTGTGTGTGTGTGTGTGTGTGTGTGTGTGTGTGTGTGTGTTTGTGTGATCTCAGTATTGTGGTGGTATATTCAGGCTCCTTAACTTCGGGAGCCTCGGCGAATCATCGCAATAGTGAACTTGATCGTCTACCTTTCTATGTCTGTGGTATACTATAGTGAGTTAGTTTAGCTATTTATTTTGCACCCCATACCCATGCCGTGGGCGGTGGTGGAAAGGATCACAAAGGTACATAATGGGTTCAGGAGTTCATTTAGCTAAGCAAGTAACAGTGTTGTGAAGCTAGTTACACATTTTTTTTACACACATAAACATATATGTATACATGTATACATACATGAGAGGTGTTACGGGGGGGTCCCTTCGCAACAGCAAGCACGCATGGGTAACCACTGCTATCTTCTTCAATGGGTGCACCATACCTCAGATCTTGATTAAATCTGTGATGTCGACTCAACATTTTTCAACAATGTGGACTAAATTCGCTTCTGGGGGCCTTTCCGGGATTATGGGCCCCTGAAGATTAAGCTTTATTAGTTTCATAGTAGATCTGCCCCTGTTAATAACCCAACCCAACCCACACATGTATGAAATTGAATGAAATGACGTTTCAGTCCGTTCTGGACCTATTTCAAAACTTTCGATCCGTACTGCACCCCTTATTAAACGTTTCGCACTGGAAACACAAACCGTAACTGTCTTTATTTTCCTCTTGTTACAACTTGTAATAAGGGTGTTACATCTTGGCTTAACGTGTTTATGACGTATTAGAACATTGTTACAACTTGCTATATTGGTTGTTATTTATTTATTTATATATATACAAGAAGGTACATTGGGATTGTGAGGATACATAGCATAATAATAACATTCTTGTAAAGCCTCTAGTACGCGCAGCGTTTCAGGCAGTGACTCGGAGTTATAACTGGTTAGGAGGTGTTAAAACTTGTTCGAACGTTGTAGCAATGTAGTTTCGGTGTGGTTTGGCGGGCTATTCGTCCTGGTCAATTATTAAATCGTTTCAACCACATCATTGTGACCTGTTCTCTGCCTTGTAAGTGTTGGTTCTTCCACCCACCTGCCGCTGGGTCGCTAACAGCGCGTTCTGTTACTCACACCTTTGTAGAGGAAAGGAAGCGCAACAAGGCGCTGAATAGCAAATTCACAGGAAAAAGAGGTTCCCGGAAAATTAGTCAAGCTGGGCGGATATTTTAAGAGTTATGTTGTTTGTGGGGGCGGAAAGTGGGGAGGTTTTGGGTCGCGTGGTTGGCCGTCAGGCGCGGGAAGTGGCCGTCAGGCGCGGGAAGTGGCCGTCAGGCGCGGGAAGTGGCCGTCAGGCGCGGGAAGTGGCCGTCAGGCGCGGGAAGTGGCCGTCAGGCGCGGGAAGTGGCCGTCAGGCGCGGGAAGTGGCCGTCAGGCGCGGGAAGTGGCCGTCAGGCGCGGGAAGTGGCCGTCAGGCGCGGGAAGTGGCCGTCAGGCGAGGGAAGTGGCTGTCAGGCGCGGGAAGTGGCCGTCAGGCGCGGGAAGTGGCCGTCAGGCGGGAATTAGCCATCATAAATAGGCAGCGTGGGGTTTAGACGTCAGTTAGTTCGGGGTAGTGGTCGTCTGACGGGGTAGAGGGCGGCCAAGCGTCAGGTGGGGGTTCATAGAGGTTTACCCCTAACGCCTCTGGGGTGGGAGGCTGGGGGAGGATCGTTTAGGGATCCAGAGGTGACCTCAGATGTTAGGATTTGACCTTGAGAAAGTGGTCCTTTGAAAATGTAGTTCCTAATATGAATTAATGACTTACTGAATGGTTCACATTCATGATAAATTCGTCAATTTGGATTACTTACTCGGCCGCCGGTAAACGGTTATTTGGAGTTTAATCACCTGTCAGGAAACGGTTGTCAGTCATCCAATCGGTGTTCAGACTACGCTCATCCAAGCTGCAGCTCATCCAAACACGCTCTCGTCAGTTTGAATATACTCTGTGTCTAGAATAGATTAGATTAAGTGTTTGTGTAAGTGTTAAGTGTATTATTAGGTGTTTTTTTCTATTTTCAATTATTTGAAATTCCAGAACCAGTGTGTGTCTTACGTTAGTGTGTGTGTGTGTGTGTGTGTGTGTGTGTGTGTGTGTGTGTGTGTGTGTGTGTGTGTGTGTGTGTGTGTGTGTGTGTGGAGTGAGCTTCAAATGCCCGTAGGAAAAGCACAAATAGAAAATCCATTTTTTTCTGGATCTGTTATGAATATTTAGCTCTACTCTGGTAGTGAGGTCGCGTGAGCCAGCGCCGGCTGGAACGCGGAGCTCAGTGGTACAGAGAAAACAATGTGTATAGAGGCACATATAGGTGTATTGAGGCATATATAGGTGTATAGAGGTATATATAGGTGTAGTATATATAGGTGTATAGAGGCACATATATGTGTATAGAGGCATATATAGGTGTATAGAGGCACATATAGGTGTATAGAGGCACATATAGGTGTATAGAGGCACATATAGGTGTATAGAGGCATATATAGGTGTATAGAGGCACATATAGGTGTATAGAGGCACATATAGGGCACATGTATCGTGACACAGATATATATAGGTGTATAGAGGCACATATATATATATATATATATATATATATATATATATATATAGAGGCACATATAGGTGTATAGAGGCACATATAGGTGTATAGAGGCACATATATATATATATAGGTGTATAGAGGCACATATAGGTGTATACAGATCTATTACCTAAGACCATTAGACCATTACCATTACCAGCAGGGGTGTCAGGCTGGACTTCCCTAACCTGTTCTACATACCACAATAAACTCTTGAACCCATCACGAGTCTCTGCAACCTTTCTCCCACTCACCCGCAGGGCGAGTATGGGGTCCTTAACACACTAATTAAACTAATCTGATGCTGCTCGAGTCACCCCGCGTCCAAGAAGTCTCCGACACAATGTGTGTCAGCGTCGCAAGATATGTTTTTATTTTGATTTTTTTTATATTTTGCTGATATTTTACAGTGATATCTGATATTCTTGTTGGACGCTTGTCTCTGTTCCGTATCTGTGTAGCGTGGCGTGTTTGTAGAGGAGAGGAGAGGGAGAGTGGAGAGGAAAGAGAGATAGAGAGAGGTCGTTGGTGGGAGTAGCTGCAGGAGGCGGCGGAGGAGGGGGTGGCGCAGACGCCCAAGCCACTCCCGCGTACTTCCCTGCCCCCCCCGTCCCTTCCATCCACCACCACCCCTTCCTAGCCCCGGTCCTCTTCGCTCCGCCTCACTCACCTCGTCATTTGTGTGTGGGCCGCCACGCTGACGGGGGCACCTCCTCTCCTGTGCTCCCACCACGCCTTCGTCGGCCAGGTGTTCAAGGTAAGTGAGGCCAGGTGAGGCGCGGGAGTGCTGCCAGCTGGTGGGCTCCTCCTACGCCTCCTCCGCGCCTCACCCTCACACACATATACTTACCTTCAAAACTACCTGTTGAATTCCCGCCCACACGAGCTAGAAAACGTGTCTCGTTGTTTTATTCACGAGAGCGACATGTTGCTCGCTGTATTTTCGAAGCAACGAAGCGGACGTTCGGAATCACTAACTCAACACAGTGAACGCTGGAAATGTCCTTGAATGTGAATGAATATTGACGTTAATTCAATAACCGCGGAGAGGCGAAAGAGGCCGTTTGCGGTGAGTTGGTGAGAGAAGAATCAATATATCCACGAAGAAGCTCTAGTCGTGTTGAAAACCCCCGAGGTTGTCTTTTGATACACTTGAATTTCTACATTTCGTGTGCGATATAAGGTGAGATCCTGCCCCTAGTATATGGGGACGGCGGTGCTCCAGTTGTGTGTATCCCCCCTTAACTAGGGGGAGATCCTCGCGCTCAGTAACAAGCCACAAACTAACAGCTTTCACCTGTTGATGGCTGGTGAAATATTACGAACGACGGGTGAAGGAACCAAAGGTGTTTGGGAGTGAATGAGGTTCGTATCTGAGGTGTGTTGAGTACCTGAGTGTGAAGGGTCGTGGTCAGGTAAGGGAGGTTCAAATATAACTTTACACTTTGCATATCCATGATTATATAAGATATATATATATATATATATCTTATATATATATATATATATATATATATATATATATATATATATATATATATATATATATATATATATATATATATATATAGCCAGCTACTGGAAGGTAGTTGTGCTTTCTGGGTTCGAGTCCCACTGGTGGGTGTTGTCCAAAGATTGTTTATCTTCACTTGTGGTTTATGCAAGTATAGGCTTATATATATATATATATATATATATATATATATATATATATATATATATATATATATATATATATATATATATATATGCAAATCTTGCTCTGTTTCCAGTGCACACCGGTAAAAATAGTTACTCGGACTTTTAATATAGTTAGTGACATGTGTCTCTAGATATTTTCGTAGTTTTGACAGGTAATTGTATTTCAACCCATCCACATTCTCAAGCGTTCGAGCTGCGACCAACCCCAAACACACATTCATGAACTTAACGTTGTGTGCATTAACAAAATCGGTATTTTCTGAAAATGTAATGTAATATATTTGAACTGTATGTATACTGAGGCCCAAGTTTGGTTTCAAGCTTGGGTTCTATTGGGAATTATTTGTATTTGCAGTACGTGTTTGTAGCATTTAGAGAGGTGCGATTGAAGCATAGGAAGTGAGCGAAACACAGTTCGAGAAACGTATGAACATAAACAGTAGAGTCACGTGTATAGTGTTTTTCAGGCATAAACAAACAGCTGATAGAACTTATCAATAAAGGCCAATGTTCGTTTCATGGAGCCGTCATGAAACGAACGTTTCATGGCGAAGTTGGAACGTTTCTTAAACAGTGTTTCAGTGACGTTCTCTGTTCGAATCGCACCGCTGTAGTTGCTTCACCCACGCACTACAAATTCAAATAATTTCCAAGAGAAGCTAAACACCTAATATAACCTACGCTTAAATATGCCTAATATTTAAATATATGGTGCATTATTAATATACATAATTACCTGCTGATGTTGACCTGATCAAATTTAAATTGTGTCAACAAAAATATTCGCACACCCTCCGTCACTGTGATGGAGTGCGAAATGATTCGTGAATTCAGAGACAATTCTATAACATATTTGAAAAAAATTGTAAATATTTAATTCAAAATGATCTGCTACCAGAATGTTTAGTCAAATAATCCCCAGTTTGCTAACAGCAGGTAGTAACTAAGTGATTATAACCTATCCACCGCTGTCCACTGGATGGGGGGCGGGGTGCAGGACTAACATATCAATTGTGACACTAGCTCTCCACATATGTCAGTTGCTTAATTTAGAAACTGTACTTGTGGTCGGTCTCGAGTCCAATGTTGATGTGACGATGTGCATTGAATTTTGTAACTAGCTCATCAAGATTGTAACTTGGTGAGCTAAATGAATTTTGTGGTTCAGTCCCTGAGCCCATTATATGCCTCTGTAACCCATTCCACTACAGCCCACAGGATAGGTATGGGGTACATAATAAATTAACTAAACTAAGGGTGTTTAGCGTTAGCGTTGAGGTAGCGTTTTGTGTGTCGTCTCTGCCTTAACAGCCAAATTTCAATACGTAAAATTATCATACGCTATAAAGTTTACATAAAAGGTCAACGAACTCTTAAGCACAAAAGTACAACCATTTTGCCGTTTTCACTAATCTAAATTTAATAATTTTTATTCACAACTCTACGGTATGTTTCTTTTGTTAGCTGTGTGAATAATATAAACTGGTGGGTTATGTTTTGACCAATGAGACTCGTTACAATGCACCTATTCAGTCATAACCTAACCCATTACTACAACAACAAAACACGCCGCGAGGCTATTCTGCACGTTTTAAGAACCTAGAGGTAAAGGGAACACTTTTCCTCGACTGTACCACTGGACCGCGAATGAAGAGTTCCAATGGACCGCGAAAACAAAGTGCACAATCAGAGATGTCCTCGGGTGGTTTATGTCTCATAGAGGAGGCTGTGTAGCTGCTATCTATCGCTGGGTGTACAGACGCATCAGGTGTAACATTAAATGTCATGCCCTACCCTGGAAACGAACCTGGAACCATTCGGGTGTGAGGCGACTCCCCTGACCAATAGCTGGAGGCCATCTTAAGCTTCCGGTATAGACAGCTTCGGTGTCTATCTATCTCATCAACACCCCATCAATGTCTATCGCCCGGAAGCGGGTTATAATGACTGGAAATTTTAATCAGTATATGTGCTGAATTTTGTTCCATCACGTTTTTACTCGACAAAACAAACATGACGAAGATCAAACACTTCTCAAATTACAATGCCGACAAAATTACATATTATGAAAATATAGAACAGAGTTCAGTGATATGTTTGTGTTGTCGGAATGTTAATGAATTTTCGGGTGGCGTGGCCGGGATAAGGAATGTGTATGAGGGCAACAGTTACAGAGGCGTGAGTGGTAGGTGTTAATTGTTAGGGATGAATATGAGGGGTGTCTATGCAGGTGTGAGGTACAAAGTGGAAATGTATGAGGATTAAGTATGAGGTTACTGGACAGGTAGGTATTACATATGAGGAAAGAGGGAGAAAGGAGGTGGAATCAGATATATATATATATATATATATATATATATATATATATATATATATATATATATATATATATATATATATATATATACGTGGGAGAGTATCTTCGAAAAATAAAGTATGTTGTTTTGTAGAACACATAAGTGGAAAGTAGAAGTGGAAATCTAAGGTAAATTACCAGTCATATCTTGAGAAATCTCAGTAGACGAGGAGTCACAATAACGTGGCTGAAGTATGTTGACCAAACTACACACTAGAAAGTGAAAGGACGATGACGTTTCGGTCCGTCCTGGACCATTCTCAAGTAGATTGTGAGGTATAAAGTTCCTCACAATCGACTTGAGAATGGTCCAGGACGGACCGAAACGTCATCGTCCCTTCACTTTTACTAGTATAATAGTGTGGTTTACGGTCAATCAAATCTCAAGTACTGTCTATATCGGAACATTTAGTTAATAAGTTAGACTTATTAAATTTGCGGGGGTAACTAAATGAGTTTAGATTCACCGAAATAAAACAAATATGTCATATCATAATTGTTGAATTGTATATATATCAATTCATAAGAAAAAATTGTCAAATTTGTTAATAAGAGAATTCGGGTTGGTTAGTAAATGTGCCTAGAACATTTTTGTAGGTTAGTGCTAATATGTTCCAAGGCTCCTAGGCGCCTAAGGTAACTGTGCACTTCAGTTCCTGAAGGAGGTGGGTGAGGAACGCATTAGGTAAACCAGACCCAAGAGCGGCCAGTTTTCTGTTCCAGCGCCTTAGTGTCGCGATCCAGAGAGGAAATGCCTGCTGTATCTTGGGCACGCACCCCTTCTGCATAGCTATAGGAGAGTTTCGAACAGTGATTGCAATATATGTGTTTTCTGTAAATCGTAACACAATGCAATCAAATTGTATAAAATAAATTAAATAAATAATATTGTAGAAAATGATACAAATGTAGAAGAAAATACTTAAATGTTCATTGAGAATCTGCATCTTTTCTGAATACCCTTTATTCTCTTCTTCAAGGCTATGGGTCTTAACAGTTGCAACGGAGGCATATGTGACATGTTCCTTTTCATATCACCTATATACATCATTGCTTCGTAAGGGGTACTCGGTGATGCCATGGACAGTCAGTCCTCCCATTCTCTTCTCTGCCTCTCAGAGTATTACCTTTCTCCCACCCCACCCTTTCCCTCCCCCGTCTCCCCTCTTCTTCCCCTTTCTCACTCATTCTTTATCTTCCCTTTCCACCTCATCTTCACCCCCCCTCTCTCATCTTCCTACCCTTCCCCTCTTTATTTTCCCTCTTCTCACCTCTGGTCTCCAGCCTCGAATAAATATTCCCATTGAATACAATTTTTTTATTTATATATTAGGTACATCTGCATTTGTGCAGCTACCCTAGACTAGATGAAGGGGAGTACAGTGTGTCAAAAAGCTAGCTACGTGATGCTAAAAAATCCCCATCACACCGTCAATTTACTCTCATGTTTAGAAATCTAGGGATTCGTCCAACCAGCTTTTACTGATTTTGTGGGAGGGGGAAGGGGGTGGACATTATTGAGCTTTACCCCTCTTAATAAGACCAAAGTGACCGACCCAACCATCCTATGTCTATCCCATGCCCCAGAGCATTCTCCCTGCAAGGTTAGGTGAGGCTAGCCCCAAGCATTTGGTCTCAAACGTTGGACAGACAAATTCGAGTCTGTCTTTCTCTTCCCCTCCTCCCCCTCGTCTCCTGCCATCCCCCTTTTCCCCCCTTCTCCCCTTTCCAACTCCCCCACCACCTCCTTCCGTTTCCCCCTCTCTCCTCAACTCCTCTAATCTATAACACTATAAGAACGCTTCGCGCAGAAGTTTCACCAACACAGCCCATAAAGTCTAAAGGAAAATAAACTTAACAAACAAAGTTTTTTGGGGGTTTAAAGCTATAAATAACATTATATATTCACGTTACTGTGATCTCTGTGTGTGGTATCATTATATATGTTTTTTTTTTTAACTTGGCGTTATCAGTCCATACAGTTTCCGATATTAAAAAAAATCACAGCAGTTCTGAGTCAAGTCATATTGCGAAATATTCGTGAGAGGGAGATGGGGGGAAGTTGTCACGGTGTCCCGCGGTACTGCTGTCTTTTATGCCAATCTCGATCCTGCCTATGTTGGGCACGTACCCAACGGCAATTTCTGTGAAAGATTGGCTAAAGCTAGACTCGAGTGTCTTGCCTCCATCCTCTGACAGAAAGATATATATATATATATATATATATATATATATATATATATATATATATATATATATATATATATATATATATATATGTATATATATGTAACTTTTCTACATATTATATGTCGTAATATTTGAAGCATTATTCAGAATAAAAAGGTTTATAGGTCAGAGGTGACTTACTATCAATAGAAAACCCTGTATTCTCTTTTGTTGCTGGCTTATAATGTAGTGCTGACGTAGCTGGGTATTTTTAATATACAAATCGGTTTATCAAAGCTTCATTGGACAGACTGCTTACAGTGTATACACATACAATAAGAAATAGGTTACACCTATATGTATATACATACATACACTTGGAAGTAGACTACACACCCCCTCCCTCTCGATATATGTCACCTTACATATTTATCAGCTACAGCAAGTACTCTGCCTGCTACACTCATATGTATCTTACACACACATTCAGTCATACTGTTACACATAAGAACATAATGAAGGTAACTGCAGAAGGCCTGTTGGCCAATACGAAGCAGCTCCTATTTATATCCACCCAATCTCATTCATATATATGTCTAACCTACGCTTGAAACAATCAAGGGATTCTACTTCTGACATGTTAGGCAGTAACTGGTTCCACAAATCAACAACCCCGTTACCGAACCAGTATTTACCCAGGTCCCTCCTAAATCTAAATTTATTATATACTTCCTCTACACTTGCAGATATCGAGTATGGTCTTGCACTCACACTTCTCATAACACCCTTTGACTTCCCCTCACACTTACAGATACTAAGTATGGCTGGCCAACCACTATTTAATTTTTTAAAGAGTATTTGAGTGTGACTTTTATATAATAAAGGGTTGAGGGGGGGAGGAGGCACATGTTTAATGAAAGGAAGCCACGTGTTTAACAAGGGAAGTCACATATTGCATACGTATTTACGTATTGCATGAGGTGTGAGGCGCGTATTATGTAAGCTGGACGCTGCAAAATTTTTACGGGCTATTCATGCCCGTGCCACCTCTTGGGTGGCTTAATCTGTATCAGTCAATCAATCAGCTACAAATTGCATTAGTATGAGTGATGAATGCTCTTGTGTCTCATGACTCATGAGGCCTGAAGCAAGACACGGCCATCATGAAAGTCATCAATGATTGAATCTTTCTCTTCAACTTCTCACATTATAATGGTGAGGCTAGATAGAGGGAGTTCAACTCCGAATAGAGAGAGTTGATTACCATCTTAAATTGCCTTTTGAGTATCCTGAGGGCAGTAATATGCAGGGAACTGCAACACACACTTTAGCAAACCGTAGGTAAAGTGTAGCTTATAGCACCTACTCGTCTTTTTAATATGTAGGAGAAGCCACATGTCTATTGGACTTCGACCGCAGTTTGAGGCTGATACTGCTAGGCTTAGGCTCGGCTACAGGTACCTCTGAAAGTTAGCAGCGTCTGCTGAAATAGATGTAGCCAAATAGATGTAGCCAAATGTACCGCCGCGTTAACCACAGTGTAATAATTACATCAAAATCCTTGTCAATTTATCACAAGTTTGAGGCAATAATACCAGTTACTTAGACCCGACAAATTATAAAACTAGCCTATTGAACATTGGGGGTTCAGATTTCTGAAACTATTGTTTGACTAACCATCTGTTAAACTAACCAAAACTTTAATTGTTGACGGCGTATGTAAACAAACTTTGTAACTAGCTCATCAATGACGTAACAAGCTTAGCAAAACGAATACCGGGGGTTGAGGCGGTGAAGCCATCTCACCTTAACCTGCTCTCACCTTAACCCACACCTTAACCCTTAACCCTCACCTTAATCTGCCTTTGTGGTTCCCTACACCACTGCTCACAACCTGTCAACGGCGCCTCTGGTAATCGAGTCATTTTGTGTCAACTAAGCAAAACAAAATTGTCAGGTATTGCAGGATCGAGATGTATTCCTGGGGTTTGTGTGGGTCCATTGTTGGGGTTTGTGTGTTGTCACACTCACAAACACTTGCAACTGTGCCAGGAATGTATTCGTGTTGTGTAACTTTACGCAGGTAAAACACACACACCCACACACACTCTCTCTCTCTCTCTCTCTCTCTCTCTCTCTCTCTCTCTCTCTCTCTCTCTCTCTCTCTCTCTCTCTCTCTCTCTCTCTCTCTCTCTCTCTCTCTCTCTCTCTCTCCCTCCCTCCCATAAGAGTGTGTGTGTGTTATGAGCTGTGAGTGTTGAAGGCTGGTAATAAATTAGGTTTCCCATTGCCAAGTCAGAATCAAGTTTGACCACTAATTTACCGCGTGTAACTTAAACAGGAGCCATAAACGGCAAGTTCGAACACTGGACTCTTTATCAGGTCCAATCTATAAGCGGGGAATGAATAATATTCCTTATGTTTTTGCAGTTAAATGGTCGAGATCCAATAGGTATTTAAAAGGTTTCACAAGACATTGAATATTAGGAAAGACATATTTTTGTTGGCCTCCAAAACTGAATGCAAGGGCTGGGTGTCTTACTTGTTCAGCCAGTCTATTGTGGCTGGCTGCATGCACACACACACACACACACATGTTTAAACACATGTGCCACCGGCAGACACCTGATACGTCAATTCCTACGACAGCTGACGATACACGAGTTCTCATTTGACGTTAAAGGCGTCGTTTAATGCATTTGACGTTAAGCGTCTTATTTCATACATTTGACGTTAAGCGTGTTGTTTTATACATATGAGTTTAAGCGTGTTATACATATGCACATATACACGAGATAACAAAATATAAAAAAAACTCCCGCACGTGCAAATAAAAACTTTCCACAAGTTCTTGCCAAAAAGTTCCCCGAGATCATACAAAAAAAGTTCCACACGAAAGCGTAAAAGAGTTTCACGTGTTCAAACAAGAAAGTCTACCCACATATACAAAACAAAAAACAAAAACAAATATATGATGAAACAAAACCCAATTTGTTGTTTATTGATTTATAATCAATTTCATAAAAATCTAAACCTCTTGAAACTCAAATTGTAGGAGCTACTGGTTGCCACTGAACCTGCACAAGTTGCCACTGAACCTGCACAAGTTGCCACTGAACCTGCACAAGTTGCCACTGAACCTGCTCTAGTTGCCACTGAACCTGCACAAGTTGCCACTGAACCTGCACAAGTTGCCACTGAACCTGCACAAGTTGCCACTGAACCTGCACTAGTTGCCACTGAACCTGCACAAGTTGCCACTGAACCTGCTCTAGTTGCCACTGAACCTGCACAAGTTGCCACTGAACCTGCACAAGTTGCCACTGAACCTGCACAAGTTGCCACTGAACCTGCACAAGTTGCCACTGAACCTGCACAAGTTGCCACTGAACCTGCACAAGTTGCCACTGAACCTGCTCTAGTTGCCACTGAACCTGCACTAGTTGCCACTGAACCTGCACTAGTTGCCACTGAACCTGCACAAGTTGCCACTGAACCTGCACAAGTTGCCACTGAACCTGCACAAGTTGCCACTGAACCTGCACAAGTTGCCACTGAACCTGCTCTAGTTGCCACTGAACCTGCTCTAGTTGCCACTGAACCTGCTCTAGTTGCCACTGAACCTGCACTAGTTTGCCACTGAACCTGCACTAGTTGCCACTGAACCTGCACAAGTTGCCACTGAACCTGCACAAGTTGCCACTGAACCTGCACAAGTTGCCACTGAACCTGCACAAGTTGCCACTGAACCTGTTCAAGTTGCCACTGAACCTGTTCAAGTTGCCATTGAACCTGTTCAAGTTGCCACTGAACCTGTTCAAGTTGCCACTGAACCTGTTCAAGTTGCCACTGAACCTGTTCAAGTTGCCACTGAACCTGTTCAAGTTGCCACTGAACCTGCAGAAGTTGCCACTGAACCTTTATTAGTTGCCACTGAACAAGCTCTAGTTGCCATAGGACAAGCCCTAGTTGCCACTGAACCAGACCTATAGTTGGACGGCAACATAGTGGCATCCGGGACCAATAACCAGACAGCATCCTACAAAGCGAACACATTCCAGCTACCTGTTCACCTCCATGATAATGAAAAGAACAATTAGCTACCTGTAGCAATCCAGAGGATGCCCCATGATGCTGGCAACCGCTGGGAGATGACGGTCCGCCTCGCAGATCAATATCTGCACCTGCGGGGCAGCATCCAGCTCGTGTACTCCCTCGCAGCCCTCACCGGAACCGTTTAGGAATCGAACCCGGGTCACTGGTTGGCCATTTGAACTTCATTTGTTGTGTTTGGGGGGATCCCCCTTGTTAGGTATTGGTTAATGTGAAGCTGCCACCAGCCTGCTTTGGGTGCCTGCCTCGTCTGTTGAATCAGTTACCTTGTACATTTAGTCCATCAGGTGCCTGCCTCTTTTAGTCACCGAGCTACCTGCCTCATCTAGATTGTCAGGAACCTGTCTCATGTAGTTCCCCAAGTTGCCTGAGTCTTGTAGTCCCCTGTTGCCTGCCTCATCTAGCCCCCTCCCCTTAGTTGTTTCAGCGTTGAATTAACATAGTTTGGCCAATATGTGGTCACTGGACCATAGTTGCGTGTTGTGGAGCCATCGCCGCCTGTGGCTGTACATATTTACTGCCTCCTGTACCTTTACTCGTCCACAACTGGGCCACGGCATTCATAGTTACCTGGTCACGCTCTGGGCCCCTTGTTCTCTCTCTCTCTCTCTCTCTCTCTCTCTCCCTCTCTCTCTCTCTCTTCTCCTCTCTCTCTCTCTCTCTCTCTCTCTCTCTCTCTCTCTCTCTCTCTCTCTCTCTCTCTCTCTCTCTCTCTCTCTCGCTCTGTTGCTACCTGCCTAAAGTTTATGGTTCTCCGTATTTCAAACATGGAGTGCAACCTCCCTGTATGTCATCTCTAATATATTGGTGCAGTGTGTGTGTGTGTGTGTGTGTGTGTGTGTGTGTGTGTGTGTGTGTGTGTGTGTGTGTGTGTGTGTGTGTGTGTGTGTGTGTTCCTGCCCTATTACATGATTACTATCGTCCTCGCAGTAATAGCTTCCAGCTGCTGTTGGGGAAATGCTCAACGAAGCCAAATTAAACTTCGAAGTATATAAAAAAAAAGTCTAGAATTTTTGCTTCGGGTTTGCCCAGGAGATCCTCTGCTGTCCGTCCCGGGAGTAATGAGACAGAGCGCTGATAGATGCCCGCAACGGTGGCTGTTGCTGGGAGATATCTTGAGCTGTGCAGCATCCAGCCCTATAGCCAGACTTTCTTCTGAAAGTGTAAACAAATTGATCTCTGAAGCACTTTGAAAATTGACCCATTATGCAATTTGAGATTGACTCTGGAAATGTTCTAAAATCGAGAAAAAAAGTACTCTAAAATAGGCCAGGACATATAAGAAATATCGCTGCCACAACCAGGAGAAGCTTTCTAGAGAAAACAACACATTTCTGCAGGAGGTATTGGATCAGCCAGGCTGTGATGGCTATAATGGCCGTATGGGCTACACAGATAAAGGGCCTCATAGGGCAGGCAATCACCAGGAAAGGCGGGACCCAGATCACGAACCGCTAACACCTATATAAAGCATCTACACGAATTTTAGTTTATCTCCTATAAACTTATTTCAATTTCAATTTCAATTTCAATTTCAATTTCCTCTCCCTGATACAAACTTTGCGCTCAGCTTAACCTAGATGCTCTCTTGTTTTTTCCTATCCACCAACCTATCCTTCCTCTCCCATCTCTTTCCTCTCCTTTCGCCCGGGTTTTCTATCCACTTTCTCCTTTACACTAGCCTTCAAAGTCTGATATAATCCTTCCTGCCTGATGTCATGTTGTGGTGACGGGGAGGAAGGTGTGGGAGGGGAGGAGGGATGGGTATAGGGGTGGTGAGGGGAGGAGAGATGGGGGTCTGGAGATGGGTATAGGGTTGGTGAGGGGAGGGAAGGAATCTGGTGCCTGGTGAGGCAACAGCTGTCTCCCTCAGGCCGTCCCCTGAGGTCTCCAGGTGCTCTCCTTGTCTTCAACTGCCTTGTCCTCTCTCTCCCCCTGTGTACATGTTCTGCTTCCCTCCCCTCATGTGTCCCCCCTCGTCCTGGTCTCTCACATGTGTCCCCCTCGTCCTGGTCTCTCACATGTGTCCCCCTCGTCCAGGTCTCTTACGTGTGTCCCCCTCGTCCTGGTCTCTGACATGTGTCCCCCTCGTCCTGGTCTCTCACATGTGTCCCCCTCGTCCTGGTCTCTGACATGTGTCCCCCTCGTCCTGGTCTCTGACATGTGTCCCCCTCGTCCTGGTCTCTGACATGTGTCCCCCTCGTCCAGGTCTCTCACATGTGTTCCCCTCGTCCTGGTCTCTCAC